AATTCTGCAAGAAATTGAGAGAGGACCTAATACAACTAATTCTCAAACTCTTTAGTGAAATTGAAAGGAAAGCAGTAATCCCAAATTCTTTCCTGGAAGCAAGCATTACCCTCATATCAAAATCAGGGAAGGGTCCAACTAAGAAAGAGAACTACAAGCTAATCTCTCTAATGAGTATACATGCAAAAATCTTCAATATGTTATGTATAAACAGAATTTAGCAAATCATCAAAAAAAAATTTACATCATGACCAAGATGGATTCATCCCAGGGATACAGGGATGGTTCAACATATGCAAATCAATAAATGTAATACACCATATTAACCAAGCCAAGGACAAAAACAATATGACCATCTCAGTAGATTCAGAAAAAGCTTTTGACAAAGTCCAGAATATATTAATGATAAAAACCTTATAGAATATTGGAGTAGATGATCTTTATTTCAATTTGATAAAAGCTGTCTGACAAATTCAACAGACAACATCATACTAAATGAACAAAAACTGAAAGTTTTTACGCTAAAATCAGGAACAAAACAAGGATATCCACTGCCACCACTCTGAATTGAATGTAGTTCTGGAAACTTTAGCCAGAACAATTAGACAAGAGAAAGAAAGAAAAAGAAAGTCATAGGAAAGGAAGAAGTTAAATTATTATTATTTGCAGATGACATGGTACTCCACATGGAAGACTCCAAAATCTCCACCAAAAGACTTCTAGATTTAATAGATAAATTCATTAGCACAGCTAGATACAAAGTCAGTACTCAAAAATCAACTGCATTCCTGTACATGAATAGGAAACTCACCCCGACAGAAACTAGGCAAACAACACCTTTCCCAAAAGCATCCAAAAAAATGAAATACCTAGGACTCAGTCTAATGAAGGACACATAAAACCTCTACAGTGAAAACTACAGAACTCTGAAAAAAGACGAAGAAGATATCATAAAATGAAAACATATCCCTTGCTCTTGGATAGGAAGAACCAATATAGTGAAAATGACCATACTTCCAAAACTGTTACACAGATTTAATGCAACTCTGATCAAAATTCCAACAGCACACCTCATAAAATTAGAGAAAACAATCCTAAAATCCATTTGGAACCAGAAGAAAGCTAGAATAGCGCAAATTCCAGGCAGCAAAGGCAAGACAAAGGGCATAACAATCCCTGACTTGAAATTATATTACAAAGCTACTGTGATAAAAACAGCATGGTATTAGCAAAAAAAAAAAAAAAAAAACCAGACTCCAAGACCAGTGGAATAGATTATAAGATGCAGAAATAACTCCAGACTTACTTAGCAACCTTATCTTTGACAAAGGTGCTAAACACATTCACTGGAAAAAAGATAGTGTCTTCAATAAATGGTGCTGGAAAAATTGTCTCTGCAAATGATAAAGATTAAAATTGGACCCATATCTTTCACCATGCACTAAATTAAAATCAAAATTGATCAAAGATCTACATATTAAAACAGAAACATTAAATTTGCTGGAAGATAGAATAGGTAAAACTCCTAAAGATATTGGTGTACATAAAGGCTTTATAAACAAAACCTCAGTCCCACAGGAACTATCACGAAGAATCAATAATGGGGATCGCATCTTATTAAAAAGCTTTTGCACAGCAAGAGAAATCACCAACATAGTGAAAAGACAACTCACAATGTGGGAAAAAATGTTTGCCAGCTGTTTCTCAGACAAAGGATTACTATCGAGAACATATAAAGAACTCAAAAATCTCAGAACAGCCAAATTTAAAGATCCAATCCAAAAATGGGCATCTAAGATGAATACACATTTCTCAGATGAACAACTATGCACATCAAATAAATATATTTTTAAAAGTTCAACATCACTGGTCATTTGAGAGATGCAAATTAAAATAATACTGTGATTCCATCTCACTCCAGGAAAAAAAAAAATGGCTATTAACAAGAAATCAACCAATAATAAATGCTAAAGGGGTTGTGGAGAAGAAAGAACCCTTTTCCACTGTTGGTAGTTTAGAATGGTGTAACCACTGTGGAAATCAGTGTGGAGACTCCTCAAAAACCTAGGACAAGATGTTCCATTTGATCCAGCCATTTCACCCTCTTGGTATCATCCCCAAAGAATTAAAAGCATCATACCACAGCAATACATGCACACCCATTTTTTAGCAACAGATATTGTAATAGCCACATCTTGGAAACAGTGCAAATATCCATCAACTAGTGAATGGACAAAGATGTGTTTTGTTTTGTTTTGTTATACAATGGATTGCTATTCTGCCATAAAGAAGGATAAGATCAACACATTTCTAGAAAAATGGATGTAGCTTAAGTCCATACTCCTAATTCAAATAAATCAGACACAGAAGTGTAAATGCCACATTGTTTCTCTGGTGTGAGAAACTGAAAGTATAAATAAAGACCAAAATGTATAATAGGTTTGTAAAATAGGGAGAATATGTTCAAATGGGGAGTGAAATAAGGGCTTGGGGATGGATAAAGAAAGAAGGAAAAGTAAAAAAAAAAATGAGAAAAGAAGGAAAACATGGAAATGAAGTTTTATAAATGGGGAGGGAAGAAGGGATTGAAGTGACAGCAAGGGAATAGGAAAAAGTTATATCCTGTACAGAAACAAATTCTCTACAATGAATGTGATCACCACAACATCTGATTTAAAAAAAATAAAAGCATTATGGCATTTGAAAAATTAAAAATCTAGGGATTAACCTAATGAGGAAAGTGAAAGACCTTCATAATGATAATTATATGTCTATGAAAAAGTGATTGAATAGGACATCAGACAATGGAAATATAGTACCTATTCTTGAATAGGCAGAAAAATGTCAAAATGGCTATATTACAAAAAATTATATGAAGTTTTAATGAAATTCCAACAAAAATATCATCAGTATTTCTCATGTATAGAAAAAAAAACCCTAAATTTATAAGGAACCAGAAGACACCCAGAATAGGCAAAATAATCCCAAATGACTAGATCAAAGAAACAGACATCACAATCCTGTTCTTCAAGTTATACTACACAGCTATAATAGTAAAAACAGCATGGTACTGGTACAAAAACTAATGTGTTGACCAAAGGAATCAAAAAGAGAATGCAAAAACAACCCCAGTCACCTCAAAGTGGCCAACAACATTTGCAGATATAAAGATTTCTTTTTATCAAATGGTACTGATAAAATTTGTTGACATGCAGAAGAATAAATCTAGAATCATATCTCTCACTCTGTATTAAATTGGAGCCAAAAGAGTCAGACTTACATATGAAGTATGCTCAAAGAAATTTGTATTAAAATTCTTAGAGGCACAGGCATAGACAAAGACTTGCTAAATAGAACCCTATTTGTACAAGATGTTATACTATATGCCAGCAAATAAAATTAAATGAAATTTAAAACTTTCTGCATGACAAAGAAAATCACCAACAGTGAAGAAACAAGCTACAGAATGAGAGAAAATGTTCGCTCTCTACTTCTCAGAGAATTAATATCTAGAGTATATAAAGAACAAAAAAAAAAGACTACAAAAAATAAAAGGTCAAATCACAAAGCAGACAATTGAAATGAATAGCTGATTTTCAGAAGAAGTACATACAGCCAAAGAGTACATGGAAACATATTCTGCATCTTTGGCTTTAGGGAAGTGTAAATTAAAACAACACTCACAGTTCATGTTGGCCTAGGAGACTGGTTATTATCAAGGACTCAGAAAACAGTGAGTACTGGTGAGGAGGTTTGAGGGTAAAAGGAACTCCTCTACACTGTTTGTGAGAATGTAAAATAGTAATATAACCCCTGTGGAAAACAGTAGGTATATTCGTCAGAAAACTAATGCTAGACACTCCATCTGACCTGGCTGTACCTTTTCCAGGTATCTTCCTGAGAGAATTAAAGCCAGTATAACGCTGCAATAAACATATCCACGTTTAGAGTAGCACAACTCACAATGACTAAATCAAGCATGTGCACTATCTGCCCATCAACAGATGAGCGAATAAAGAAAATGTGGTATTATATACAAGGATAAATTTAAGTCTTTTGTAGAAAAATGGATGGATCTTGAGGCCATAATTGTAAGTGATATATCAGACACAGCTAAAAATCTCATGGTTTTCCTGATGTTGGAGACCCAAAATATTAAAAATTTAAAGAGTAAAATAAAAGAGAGGTGGCAAGGTTCAGGGAGATAAACTACTGTGGGGAAGGCAAGGAGTGTAAAAGTGATTTAACTATAATATGTGTATGTACTAATTCTCTAAGATGAATGTAATTACTATGTATAGCAAATATAATTATTATGTATACCAAATATATACCAATAAGAAATGTACATTATGTTATGGTGAACAATAATCACTGTGTCATGAATAGAACACAGAACTTATACCAAACTATAATGTAGGACCTAATAATCAGCCTCTTACTTCTCTCCATTATCCTACTCTCCATCTCCGCTAACTATTGTGTTCTCAACTTCTGTGGTATGGATTGGTTTAGATTTCACGTTCGAGTGAAAACACACAGTATTTTTGTTTTTAAAATATTTTAGTTAATATAATGTGTCTCTATCATCCAACACTTCTCAAAATCCCATCTGCAGGGGGCTGGGGATTTAGCTCAGCAGCACAGCACCTGTCTGGCAAGCGCAAGATGGTGAGCTTGATTCTGGTACCAAAAAAAAGAGAAAAAATCCCATCAGCAATCAATGTTTAACACAGGACCCTTTTTTGTCTTATAAATATTATACTGGCTTACATTTCCTTTTGATGGTTATTTATGATGCATGCACATAATAATTTCCATTTTAAAGGATTCAAGGATTGAAATGCTTGATATTTAGCGCCTAAAGTAGATCCTAAAACTGTGACTGAAGCCTGAGGGTAAGAAACAGAAATGTCTATATTAATTATTATGTATAGGAAATGCATAGGTTTGGGCAAACAGACTGAAAAATGCAAAAATTTTACACAATGAAACCAATGTTAAGAGAGTTAACTCATTTTATTTCTTTGTTGTTTTCCACTCATGCATAATTAAAATAAAACAAATACCAGCTGCATGTTATTTAAGCATCATGCAATTTAAATCTCAAACTCTTGTACTTTTACAAAACACATTGTTTACTAGAAAATATTCTTACAATACTCATATATTTACATTATGTGAAATACATATTTGGGATGAATACATTTTACTTTTAGGATATTACAATCGTTTCATTCTAGCTTTACTAACCATTTTAGAAATACTGAAAATAAAGAAGAAAAATATTAAAAGTTTAATATTTGTTTAGGTCTCAGACAGGAAAAATTGGCTCTTTAGTTACATTCAAAACCCTTTCATTTTCTGGCAAACCTCAATATTCTCTGATGTAAGCATGATTTTTCAAACATTAAAAGAAACCAAGAATCAGACACACTAAATAATTTGTTCAGGAGCACTCATGATAGAACGGGACAGGTGTGAATCCCATTCTCTGATGCCAGGGCTTTGTCTTTACACTACATCACGTGTTTTCTCACAAAAAGCAGGAGAAATAAAACCATAGCTTGTAGAATTTCCACGGTAATATTATAAAAGGTTTATATGAACTTTGTTTTTAGACTTTACTCAGTTTTTCGTGGTAGGTCTCACTCAGTTGCTCAAATGCTAAAACAACGTTGTCATCTTGATTCACACATAATTCTCGCAAGGAAACACTGAGTAGAAAAACAATGATATAAATCAAGTACTTAATTGGTGATATAAGAAGGATTTCCCTTGGATATTGAGAATTGACTAAATCCCATGGATGATGAAATACTACTAGCAAAATATGATGAATGATAATAAGAAACATATTTATTCCAAAAAAATCTTGTGCAAAAACAGACATGAGAAAAGATAAAACAACTCCCATGCAGTTTATTTTGACCAGTGGTATTTGAAAGACCACTAAACTCCGTGTTGCTTGACCCCACCTCCCTTTCAATAGTGGAGTATGACTTCCTTTTTTTCCCCTCTATACATCTCTTATGAAGTCATTTTGTGTTTTATTTATTTTATTTATGAAGTCATTTTGTGTTCTTATTACTTATAGGGGTAACTGGGATGATCTACTGAAGCCAGTTACCCCTATAAGTAATACATCATTCATTGCGTTACCCACCTACCACCTGTGAGAAATTTTAAAAATCAGGATATAAGCAAAATGATAGCCTTCCCAGGATGCCTCCCCCAAAAGTCTCATGTATTGAGTGGTGGGGTTTTATGGTAGGTAACTAGATGATGGAGATGATATTGGCTGGGCTCTGGTTGGAGGGGTGGATCACTGAGGGTGTGACCTGGAAGGGTGCATCCTTCACTACTCCTCCTTTCTCTCTGCTTCCTGGCTGTCAAAGGTGAGCAGCTTTTCTCTTTCTATGTACCTTTGTACCATACTGTTTCTTCCTTGGACCCTGGCAGTCACAGACTAACCCTCCCAAACCATGAGCCAAATTAAGCCCCTCCTCCTTCAGGTTGTGGGTCTTAGGTGTTTGTCTCAGTGACAGGAAATCTGACTAATATATCTAGTATTTTACTTACCTACCACCAAAAATGACTGCATCGGTTCTGCAATAATGAATTTTTTCTGCATTACAGATCTGTAATTATGACTGTTTGACATATCCTCCTGAACCATGCCTTACAGGTATCTCATAACATGCATAAATTCTAACTCACTATTTTTGGTTCTCATCATCAAATATCATTATCACTCTGTAGTTCCTATGTATCATATACTAAAAAAGAAAACTTAGTAATGTTTAGTAACTACATGAAGTTTATCATCAACTTCTTTTCAGTTATTTCATAAGCACTTCTCTAACTACGCTTCTGCATCATTAATTCTATTTCGTTAAGTCAAGCGTTTACTCTTTCTCACCTGGATCACTGTGATACCATTTCATGGTCTTACACATCTGTGCCACATTTATAGACCACAGAACCATGCCACACTCATGTGTATGCACTATCTAGAAAACTCTCAGAACGTTGACTTGCAACTTCATGATGTGACAATTGAGACCCTTTGTAATACATATCTAAATCCCTTGTTGTTTATAGTAATTTAGCATCTTCTTCCAGCTCCCATATTCTGTGTCAACATAGTGATTTTAAAGCCTATTTCTTGCATAACAATTTCTTATTTCTCTGCTTTTCATAGTATTATTTTGTCTGTGCCATGCTCACAGATTTAGTCAAAAGCTTTACATCATTTCAGAGCCTGTCTCTGAGTCCAAGTAAAGCTAGTCACTCCCTTTCTGCCATCCTACCCTTTACTATGCTTATAATGTCCAAAGATCTGTTTCTTTCACTACACTGTAAGTTTTTTAAGAGGGGTCAATTTAATGATGCGTATACTCAAACGCTTAAAAGTGTCTCAAACAAGTAATACTTGAATACTTGTTACAGGAATGCATGAATTAATTATCTTCCTTAGCTCAGATTTGGGCAGAGCTTGAAAGTTCTTACATTTCTTGGGCTTCTCCGAAGTTTATAACTGGAATAACAATGAGTCATGCAGGGAACACCTTATCTAGAATTGTTCTCAATGGACAAAGATGTAACTTCTGCTCTAGCACCACAAAACATTCACTGTTTATATAAAAATTCTACCTGAGTCAGCTCAGATCAAAGAATTAGAAGCCATGACCAATTAACAAAAGCCCAAACACAAGGATTTGTGATAAATTAAATGTATGTACAAGCAAATGACCAAACAACGAGACCATTGTAGAGTATGCACTCTACAGCATGCAGATTGGAAGCCTTAGGAATACAGCAGTTTAACCAGGCAATATTAAATGCTCAATGGAACCAAAGGATGGGAATATCTGAATGAAGTTTGATATTATTTGTGTCTATAGTGGGCTGTGGCAAAAGTGAGAATAGGTGTAGCCTATGAGAGGCCAGGTTGAGATTAAGCCTGAAAAAAAAAAACCTAATGAAAGCAGAAGATTCCAGGACATATAAGAGGTTGTACCAGAGACATAAGAGAGCCCCAAAGGGCCCTCTCATACCATGGATCGGACATACAGTCTTTGTGACACATGAGAATATTAGGTGTGGGCTCAGTGAAGCTTTGGAATTGGGCTGCCTGTTGGAGCATGGCTGCTGGGGATAAAATACAGGCTCCATGGAACTTAATCTCAAATGAGATTTGTTATTAATTCTACTACAGGAGGCATGCAGCAGTGTGTTGCACAGAAGTTCTGCAAACCCTCTGCAAGTTGATCTCACAGCACTAACAGGTTCCATAGGCAAGGCACCTTCATGTACCTTGCTTATGAGAAAGAGACCAATGTTTTTGATTTATAGCAAAATTATTTAAAATTATGAAATCGATATTTAAATATATAACATACCTGATAGATTTAATGGTGAGTAAAAAATCCTTCAACAAATCATAAGCTGCCCCTGTGTGTATCCTAAACAACAAATAAAAATTTTGAGAATTAATGACACAAAAATATTATTTACTAATGTAGTAGTTATATTATTCGCCATAATGAGTCTGATTTAAAAATCCAAAATGCTTCACATTTATAAAGCACGTTAGAGTTTCAAACATATTTTAATTATGATTATTCAAAATGCGATGTAAACATATATTGAATTCCTGCCTTAATGTGGCCCTTTACACATCTATGTGCTCAATATGCAGGCCACTTTCTGCATTTCCAGGAAGGCCTAAGAGTGTTTACCTCAATTTAACTTTTGAAAAGCTTTTCTTGAATGTGACATTATGTATATCTAAAATGTACAAATAAAATCTGATTCGGAAGAAAAACATCAACATAAGAAAAGAAAATAGTTTCTCTCTCACAGAATGAAAGTAATTGTCATATAGTCAGTCCTCAAATGTACACATGATATTCTTTACATATACGCTTACCAAATAACACAGAGCATAGGATTGCCATTATTTTTATTCATTAATAATAAATAAATCAATGAGCAAAACATAAACTGTATCTGTAAGTAACTGAAAATATTTACACCTTTATGTCACAACTTTATTATGTAAAGTAAGCTGTTCTAAATACCAAGATTTCATAGGCAAGCCACAAACAAAAATCAGAAGTTGTCCTTTTTTCTGGCCATTAGAAAGAAAAATAGAAAGTATATGTTTATCATGATTAGCCTATACACAAAACTGTAAAAGGAGTTTTTCCTGTAAAATTCATTAGAGAGACAGGGGAACATACCTGTTGTCCTGCTTTAACCCTTCCAAGGAACCATGTTTGTAGAAGTCCAGTGCATAAGCATTAAGGGGCATTCTTCTTCCTTGATTATCAAACCTTTTCGGCCACAGTACAGGAGCCTGAGCGTGGTTGATACCAAACGTTTGCAGAATCGTCTGAAGAAATACAATTGTTAACTAATGTTATTTATGTATACAGAAAGTTCATGTTGCTTACCCTGTACTTTTTATTTACTTCCTTTAATTAATGTTTGTCAAGCACACCATTCATGGTGAAAGATGGGGTGTCTATCTCACATGTTGGGCTGTTGTCTTCCTCAGCAAGGCTAGCGAATGGCTTAGCACCACCTGTGACAATTACTGCTTCCACATCATACTGAGAGCCAGTTCAACCATGTGGTCACTAGACACAGCAAGACTGATTGGGAAGAAATGTCATTTAAAACTTTTAAAACATTTAAAACACTATTCTTATTGGTGCAGGGAATGCCTTTGCAAATAAGGTATGAGAGAGCTGGAAACATATATGCCACATGAAAAGTATTCACCTAAACAGATCTAATGATCTTTAGGGCCCATTTAGAAGAATAAAAGAGGAGAGAGGAGGAAGGAAGAGAAGACAACAAAAAACTGAAGAAAACAAAGATATAATTGTCTATATCTGCTTAATTTTGCTAATTATATCTTATTGAGTCAATAGGACCTCTAGTATACTGTTAATGAGACTATAAACAGGTCCAACTACTTTCTAAAGTATGTTGGTAGTATCTTGAAAAGTTTAATACTTCCATTCTGATGACCCAGAAAATCTATTTTTAAACCAAAAAATTTATATCCTCCCCCAAAAGGCCTGTTGCACATTGCCATGAGAAATCCACAGTATTCTTATTTGTATAACAAAAATGGAAACTGTCCAAATATTTATTAACAAAAGATACAGCAACAAGTTGTTTCCCACTATGGAATATTGTGAAGCAGTAAAAATTTCTTTAAAAGGTTTGTATCACAACATTGATAATCTTAGGGGACTAACATAGAATGCAAATACAAAACCACTTTTAAGAGACTACAGCAAGTATCTTTTAAGTTTTAATAAAATTAAAAATTAAACATATATTAAAAGTGATTTTATAATATGAAGTTTATAAAAGGTAGGATGAAAAATAAAATATAGAAAATTTGGAGAAGGAAGAAGGTGAACAAGGAAATGAAATAGAGGACCAACAAGTCAATCTTCACTTCATGGAGTGCACATTAGTTATTTTCCTTGTAGTTTATCTACACAGCATCTAAAACTATAAATATTCTTGCTTTGTATTATATTAAACCATAATAAAAATAAAACAAAATGAATTTTTAAAAGTTTAAGATTTATACTGGTCAATTTGTGTAAAGTGAGTTGAGTAAGTTACTACGAAGCAGTACTCTACAATTCACTGTTCGACATGCTTCCAAACAGATGAAATAGAATGTAGTCCTTTCTATAGAACTCCATCCATAGCAGCTGAGTCTGTATGCCTTCATGCCCTGTATGTCAGACATCTCTCCTATTTGTTGGTGACTCTGGCAATGTGAGAGATAATCTATTTATAATTGTATCATTGCCCTTCCAAAATCCCATGGAAAAGCTTGCATATGGAAAGAAAACAAGAAACAAATAGCAAATACCTTCCATGAATTAAACTGTATAAAAATACGATTAAACTGTATAAAAATAGAAAGGAAGAGGAAGACTAAGTATTGCAGCACAGAGGAAGAAGCATTTACAGAGAGCTCTTTGGTACCCACCAAGGTCAGTCAGTGTGTGGCTAAAAGAGGTAATGCAGCTACCAATCAGAGGGATGTATGCTGAACAGGATAGCAATTAGGTGAAATACAGAAAATGGGGAGCCTGGAATAAGAACTGAAGCTCTAAGCTTTGACACTCAATCAGTACAAGTCCGGAAACACTACTGTTCACAGCACAGTGTATCCATATGGTTTTCTTGCCACCGGGGCATGGACCAGAATCTACTATGATAGCAAATAGACTCCATTGGTGCATATTCCTGCCCAAGAATGGACAGTTAGCCATCCTGCGCAATGCACAGAATTCTCAGGGAAAGAAGGCAACAGGGGGCCAGAGCTGAGCCTAAACTGCAAAGGCCATTGTTCCCTAGCTTCAGTGGAACTCTACAGTTTCCTTGCCAGGATATAGCCCAGGACCTGTGGTTACAACAGTAAACAGACCCCCAGTCCGTGTACATGGAGTGCAGGCGAGGTCCAGACACCAACCTACCCTGAGAAATGCTAAAACGTTCTAGGGAAAAAGGCAGGGAGGGGAAGAGGCTAACTATAGCTGAGCACTTGTCCTGGATGCCATTACCCTTACTACAGGCAGAGCTATGGGTTCCTGAATCTCTGACTGTGGGCATGGGGAGATACAAGAGCCAAAGGTAAGTTAGAGGTCTGGGGTGGAGACAGCCTCTACTAACTGAAAAAGCTCCCCCAGTTGCCCTGGAGATGACTGAAACCACACAATGCTGAGGCAGAGATGGTGTGAGAGGCTAGAGGGAGCAGTTGGAATGACCATGGCTGGCAGAGAACCTAGAGCTGACACCCACTGGAGGGAGCAGAGGAAATGCCCCACTCAGGATCCAAAGGCTCCAGAATACAATAGGCAATAGACAGGGAGATTGGAATTGGATGAAGATTTGTCTCTACCTGCAAACCTGCATGCAACCCAGGTGAGACAGACTTCAGTAATCTGTCTGTATTCTGAGACTCCCTGACTCCCAAAGTGTTGGTGTGGAGCTTGCATACATATACAACTGTGTATAGGTATTGTGGTGGACTAACTAATAGTCAAACTGTAACACCCAGCTAAACTGAATCAGTGTGGTTCTGGGTGTAGAAGGCCCACCTGAGGATTGTTGCAACAGTATAAAAGGAGATCTGGAGGGGAAGATGCTGTGCTGTTGATTCTCCTGGAGAAACTTGTCACACCAGCATTCGTGGTATGAACTCAGCTGTTTTAATCATCACAGGAGTTCAGGTCCTTACTGTCCCCGAGGATGACTGTGATTCTCTTTAAGGTAGATCTGGTCATTACCTTGAGCATCATTTGCTAGCTCCAATGAAGATCCCTCAGCCTGTTAACACAGATCTTTCACTCCACTGGTGCAGACTTTCTAGCTTCCACAATTGACCTTGGGCCTTTCTAGTGCAGATCTTAGGTAGAGGCTTCCATGAGACATTGTTGTAGGCTCTAGGTCTTTAGGTAGACTCATAGAGGACATTGCCATGGGTTCTAGGTCTTCAGCTGGACTCATGTAGGACATTGCTGTGGGATCCAGGCACTGAGCTGGATTCCTTGGGTCTCTAGTTCATGGACAGATTTCCTGCACTCTTTTGCATTTGACTCTTTGAGTGAATGTTAATCTTATAAAGCGTGTGTCCTCTAAATTTTCTCCCATGTAAACCCTGACTACAACAGGTATGGATTAATATTTAAATGTCTTCAGAGATTTATATAGATGGATTGGCTTCCCCTCATCAAGGGTTGCTTCTTCAGCCTTACAACATTGGATTTTTATAAGTGGAGATACAGGATTCACTGGTTCTAGCTTCTATATATCCTTCCCTGCTATCTGCTTAATATTTTCTTCTTTTCTTCTTTTTCTCTGGCCCCTCACATGACCACCTCTCCCTCCCTCCTCCAGTCATGCCAAAAAAATAATACCATCAAAATCTATGAAATTCTAGAACCCATACTGAAGGGGAACTATTACAAAGAACCAACAAATGGGATCTCATCTTATTAAACAGCATTTGTACAGCAAAAGAAATCACCAACAAAGTGAAAAGACAACCCATAAGGAAAAAGTTAGAGCCAGTTGTCCATCATGAAAAGGACTTCTCTCTAGGACATATAAAGAATTGAAAAAACCAGAACCCCCAAATTCAAAGACCCAATCCATGGATAAGAAAATTGTGGTACTTTTATATAATGGAATATTACTCAGCTGTAAAGAAAGATAAACTCAAGGTTTTTATAGGTAAATGGTCACAACTAGAGACCATACTCATAAGTGAAATAAATCAAACATACATGTGCAAGCACCACATTGTTTCACTAGTATGAAACCTGAAAGAGTTAATTTAAACTAGGAGATATGATAGACATTGTGAATTAATAGGAATGCACTCAAAGGTAAAGGGCAAATGGGATGTGGGAAAAGAGAAGGGAAAGAAGGAGAAAGTTTGTATGTATGTATATGCAGGATAGTTAACATGGCTGTTCTACTGTCTTGTATTTCTTTGCTGAAAGAAACTGTCAATAAGTCCTTGGTTGATCAGCACTGCATGTCTATATCTGTCTTCATGAGAAACCACTTTGAAGATATCAATATGTAATACAGCAAGCATTGTTAATTCCCTACTACTTTGTTTGTAACTCTGTACTATCTGTACTGTTCCTTTGCTATTTTGTAAAATGTTGTCTGTCTGTTAATATTTTCCTCCTTTTATTTTTAAAATAAAAAAAAACAAAGACCCAATCCAAAAGTGGGCATTTGAGATGAATACACACTTCTCAGATGAAGAAATACAAATGGCAAATAAATACATGAAAAATATTCTATATCATTGGTCATGCAAATTAAAACAACACTGAGGTTCCATCTCACCCCAGAAAGAATAGCTATCACCAAGAAATGAACCAAAAACAAATGCTGGTGGGGCTGAGGGCTCCCTTTTCCACTGTTGGTGGGAGTGTGGACTGGTGCAACCACTGTGGAAATCAGTGTGAAGATTCCTTTAAAAACTAGGATTAGAGGTCCCATTTGACCCAGCTATTCCCCTACTGGGTATCTTCCCAGAAGAATTAAAAACATCATACCACAGTGATATACGTGCACCCATGTTTATAGCAGCATAATTTGCAATAGATATATCTTGGGAACATCCCAAATGCCCATCAACTGAGAAATGGATAAAAAAGATATAGATAGAGAGATAGATAGATAGATAGATAGATAAATAGATATAGATATAGAGATAGACAGATAGATATGAGTAATATTTGGCAACACAGAAGGACAAACTGGAGACTATTTTAAGTAAATGGATGCAACTCGAAACCATACTCATAAGTGAAATAAATCAGACCCATGTGTGTAAACATCATATTGTTACACTAGTGTGAGAAACTGAACAAGTGAGTAGGATCCAAAATGTATGACAGACATAAATTAGGAAAAAAAGCTGTTCAAAAGAAAAGACAAGCTATGATAGAGGAAAGGGGAAATGGAAAAAAACAGAAAAAGAAAAATATATATTTATACAGAAGATAATCAAGATAGCTACACATCTAGTTTCTCTTAGTTCATTGAAAAGAAAGGTTTGTACTAGTATTGTTTGAACAAAATATCATGCCTATATCTTGCACTCTGAATAACTGCTATGGAGACAAAAGTATGTAATGTATTAATTATTGCAAATTTCCTACTAACCTGTTTTGAAACTGTTTTATTATTTTTATTTTTTGATCTTTAAAATAAATATAAAATAAAAGCCACTTTACATGTGCACACCATCAAGTTTGGGGCTACAAAAATGGACCCAGTTTTGCCATTCTATATGTAGCAGTTGTCTTTCTCTCCATGTTTCTCCTTCTGATGCCACTGAATTTCCACTTTTCATTGTTTTGTTTTGTTTTGATTTTGTGACAGAACTTAGACTTGATGAACACATTTAGCTCTTGATATGAGGTTTAAAACTCCTGAGAACCTGACTCAAGTGCCCCAGGATCACTTCCTGAATTCTGTTTGCTATACTGGCCCATCTAGATCCAGTTCTATATCTTTCCAAAGAAACTGACCTCTTTTCTGGTGCCATGGCTAGGTCTGCCTTCCTTACCATGGAGAACTGAACTGCTAATACTTGTTTATCTTTTTTTCTTTTCTTAATCACTCACTCATACTAACTGCATATTCATATTAAGTGAGAATATTTCTAATAAAATGTCTAATAAAATGTCTATAAGTTTTTAAAAATCTATATTCTTGTTTTGTCTCTTTATTTTCATTTTATGACGTCCTATTTTATCTACTCCCCTTTTTCTTCTTGTTTTCAGCATATACTTTATCATTACTACTCTTTTTTCTTCCTCAGTTATTGAACCAGTTAAAAACTTTTTAAACAAATTTTAAAGTAGGTGTTGATATATGATTGTTTCTGTGGAGTTTAATATTAACCACAATTGTTCTCTCCAAAAAAAGCAGTGATAGAACCTGAACCCAGCTCTTTAAATAGGTGGAATAGGTGTCTATGTACTGACACAACCCAAAGCAAAGGGCATACCAGAAGAAAAATCTACTCACTAAAGCAATATGTACTATGATAGCAGAGTTTTTGTCCCAACTGATGCAAACCATCCAACACAAAACCATAAGAATCATAAGAAAGCAAGGCAGCAAAATTGAGTAACAACAAAAAAGAAAACTGCACACAAATATTTCTAATGGACATAGATTCAAAATTCCTCAATAAGATACTTAAGACAGAACACAACAAAACAATGAAAAGATCATACATCATGATCAAGCCAGCTTCTTTCCAGGAATGCAATAAAATGAGATAAATAAATGCAATACACCACAAGCACAGAAGTAAGGATAAAAATTACAAGATCATCTCAATAGATATGGAAAAATCCTCTGACAAAATCTAATATCTATTCATGATAAAAATCTTGATGGAAATAGTTTAGAAAGATCTTACCTGAAACTTCTAAAAGCCACATACAACAAACACATACCCAACATCGTACTATATGAGAAGAAATTGAAAGCATTTCCTGTAAAAACAAATGAGACAAGATTCTTACCATTCCTCTTCAATATTATACTGAAACGTTAGCCAGAAAAAACAGGCAAGAGAAGGAAAAAGGAATATGAATAGGAAAAGAAAAAGTCAAACTATCAACACTGCAGATGATTATCCTTTACATACAAGGCCAAAAAAAAAAAAAAATCACAGAAGACTTTGAGAACTAATAAATTCATCAAAGTGTCATGATACAAAATTAGCACACAAAAATTAATTATATTCCTGTACACCAAAAATGAACCCACCAAGAAAGAAATTGGAAAAGCAATTCTATTTATGGTAGCCTCAAAAAAAATTCAGTACCTAGAAATCAACCTGACCAAGGAGATAAAAGATATCTACAATGAAAACTCTATACCCCGAAGAAAGAGATTGAAGAGAATATTAGAAAATGGAAAGATACCCCTGTTCCTCGATAGACTGAATTAATATCACTTCAGATGAAGAAAAACAAATATAAAATAAATATATTTTACAATTCTCAGCATCACTGTTCATTTGAGAGATGCAAATTAAAGAAAACTGAGATTCCTCTCACCCTAGAAAGAATGGCTATTAACAGGAAATCAACCAATAACAAATGCTGGCGGGGCTGTGGGGAAAAAGGATCTTTCTCCACTGTTGTGGGAGTGCAGACTGGTGCAACCACTGTACAAATCAATATGGAGATTCCTCATAACACTAGGATTGGAAGTCCCATTTGACCCAGCTGTTCCCCTACTGGGTATCTTCCAAGAAGAATTAAAAGCATCATACCACAGCAATATACATGCATTCATGTACATAGCAGCACAATTTGTAACAGCCATATCTTGGAAACAATCCAAATGCCTATCAACTAAGAAATAGATAAAAAAAAGATATGGTCTTTTTATATAATGGAGTACTACTCAGCCATACAGAAGGATAAACTGGAGACTTTTATGGGTAAATGGATGCAATTTGAGACCATATTCATAAGTGAGATGCACATGTGTAAACATCATATTGTCTCCCTAGTGTGAGGAGCTGAATGAGTAAATAAGATCCAAAGTGTATAATAGATACCGTAAAATGGGAAGAAACCTCAAAAGGAAAGGAAAACTGGGATGGGGGAATGGAGAAGAGAAAGAAGGGAAAACCTATGCATACAAAATATAGTTAAAATAGTTATACTACTACTTCCTCATAGTTCATTGAAAAGGAAGGTTTGTGCTAATATTGTTTGGGCAGTTAAATGCTGCTATCTTGTACTCTGAGTAACTTATTCAAAGAGAACAGTATGCAATGTATTAACCCTTCTTAGCCTTCTATTATCTTGTTTTGAAATTTTTTTTCTTTAAAATAAAAAATTTTTAAAAGAACTCAAAGATAATTAGACTCCAAAAGACAAATGACCCAGGAAAAATTGTCAAATGAGATAAATAGATGCTTCTCAAAAGAACAAGAATAAGTGACTAATAAGTACGTGAAAAAACGTTCAATAGCTTTAGCCTTTAGGGAAATGCAAACCAAAACAACTCTGAGACTCCATCTTACACTGATAAGAATAATAATCAACAACTCAAAAAGCAACAAATGCTACTGAAGTTGTGGGGGAAAAGGAACAGTTCTACATTGTTGGTAGGACTGTCAACTAGTACAACCACTACGGAAATCAGTTTGGAGATTCACTACCAAATGAAAAATAGAAATTACATTCTACCCAGCCATACCTCTCCTGAGTACTCCCCTGAGATTTGAAGTCATTATACTTACAGCAATGCAATTCACAATAGCTAAACTAGGAAAACTGCTTAGATACCCATCAACCAAGCAATGGAAAAGAAAATGGAGTATTATTCAACTGTCAAAGCAAGATGAATTTGAGTCATTTGTAGGGAAATGAATGTATTTTAAGACCATAAGATTAAGTGAATTGAGTCAAACACAGGAGGTTAAATATCACATGATTTTCTCTTATTTGAATAACCTAAAAATATAAATAAATTAAAAAGTAAAATGAAGGATATGGTAGGAAAGCAAGGGGGTATCTTTTTGGAAATGGGAAAGAGGATCAGGCAAAGAAGGAGAAGAAAAGGAAATTATGTTTCTTAATAATTAATATCTTTTCTTCAATGTAGTTAGCTACAATCCTCATACAATGTTAGTTATTTATACTAATCCATGTAAACTACAGGAAACAAAGTTTTCTAAAAATACTACTCTCAAGCTAACATGCAATCCTTTATAATTAGTATGTCAGAATTCAAAACTCATCAAGAGCATTCTATTACAAAATGCCCCTTAGACAGAGGGAAAGCCCCAAAGATTTATGTATGAACCCCAATCCTCACTTACATGACTTGAAATTTCCGGTTGGAGCAAAGCATCATCAAAGTTCCCAGAGAGACAAGCAAATGGTGAAATGGCTACTCTTCCTTCTCTGCAGCTCATCAAGTGAGACACAAGTTGGGAGTCTTCACATTCTTTACCTGTGAATTCTGAACATAATAAACTGAGATAAAATCAGCTAACTTGATTTAAAAATCAGCTAACTTGTCAGACCGCCTGTTATTTGCTCTGATGGTGAACCTTTTAAAACTTTCAATGATAACAAATCGCCTGGTGCAGTGCACATGCTATAGGTTTGCCACTGTGGGTCTAGACCATGCTGTGACTGCAGCCATTCAAGGGAACCATAGCGCAATGTAGACTGAATAAGCCATATCACAGAATGCGAGTAACCCAGTTGAGGACAGGTACATTCAATGAATGTTAGCTACGAACAGTAGTATCACTACTTCATTACTATAAATACATGTGTTATATTTGATCACTTTAATCAATAGAAAGTATTATTTAAAGTTTTGGGTTTTTTTGTTTTTTTTTTTACAGAGAATACTTTCCACTTGGCCCCATGAACTCTGAGTCTATTTTAAATTCTATCTGAACAGGGTGGTCTAAGTAGTCACTATCAGTAGGTTTGGAAAAGGCACATGAGAAGACATTTTCCATTCATGTGCTTTTAAAGCTCTAGATTATATGACTAAACTGGGCTCTAATTGTAATTCAGACAGATACTCACATGCCCCAAATACCCTTCCTGTGAGGTCCACAGAGTTCCACCATTCCCGTGTGGTTTGGTTCATGCTGTTTCTTGCTTTAATAGGACCTAAGAAACTAGAAGTTCTACCTCCTTGGATTTTTCCAATTGAGGATGATAAGGTATAGTGAATCCAGGATATAGTGAATATAGTCAATCCAGGGTATAGTAAACCCAAAGCTCAAAGATTTCTCTTTATCTCTGTCAGCTTTCCCTATTTATTTCCCCCCTCAAAGCATTCATTTGTTGTTTCTTAAAATCCAAACACTAATAACGTTTACAATGTGCCAAGTATTGTTTTTAAATATTCACATATAGTAGTTATTTAAAGCTCAATTGTTTAAAGTTTACCAAAGTCCAATAAAAAATGTTATTCTCTCTCTCCTGTATCTGTTGAGAAAAAAACTAATTCATGATTACTGGATCATTTGCCCCAGATCTCACTGCTAATAAAGTAACACAGCCAGTGTTTGGATGCAGAGAGTCTCGCCCACACTGTATGCTGATGAATATTAAACATAATTCCTCTCAAGAAAAACAACGCTCTAATTAGATTCTAGCTTTTGTCAGTCTCACAGATATCTTTACCCCATTTTCCAGGCTTGATTCAAAGACAGACTTTACTCAAAATGGTTATAAATGATATATTTAGTTTCATTTTCCAATACCCACTTATTCCAATAATCAGTTGTTTTTCTTTGAAAAGCAGACGGACCCTTGTTGGTAAAATATGTGTCTCTCTCTCTCTCTCTTTATCTATATATATACAGAGAGATAAATATAGATATAGAGATAGATAGATAGATAGATAGATAGATAGATAGATAGATAGATAATCTTTTTAAGTACTGGGAACTGAACTCAGAGCCTCAGGATAAGAAAGCCTTCTTCCACTGAACAGTATCTCCAGCCCTGGGATAAAATAGTCTTAGGAGAGATTATTTATTGTTAAATTGTTCCACAATGGAGCTGAAATATACTCACTGATTTGGGACAGTGGGAGTTGATATTCCTGTTTCATATCAGCCAATTTGGACACAATTAGTAAAAATGAGGCAAAGTCCTTTGTGATTTGCATGTTATACTCATCTAAGGCAGCAAGGAAATCCTCAGGGAGATCATCAAGGAACACCTGGAAATCAAATATTTTTCAGAAAGATCTATAAACTTCATTAAAACTGAATCCTTTTGAAGAAGAAAGTAAAGAACCTTGCAGTATAATTCTACAATTATCTATTCAATAAGGTCACTGTTTCTTCATTGGTAGAAGTACAGTAAAATTCATTTGTGCTTCTATCTTCATTTATGAAATCAAACATTCTACTCTTTAACCTTAAAGTTTTACTTTGAAACTACTTAAACTTTTTTAAAAAAATAGAATCTGACACTCAAATGGAATTAGACTTATGAAAATTTCACAAAATCTAGTGACATATTTGGAGAGCATACAACAAGATAAAGCACACTTGCATGCCAGGTGTCACCTCACTTGGTTTGAAGGGTTTTAATTAACCCTAATCAGATACTCTTTCAACAGAGTGAGGTTTCCATGTCTGCGTTTGACCAAGAGAGTAAAGTTATGATCACCGCCATCTAAGTAAAATGAGTGAATTGTTATTGTTTTGTGATTTTAATAAGCCTCACTCTATATCTCCAACATCTCTGCTCCTAGGTCATGGCTCCCTTGAGATTTCTGAGTATCAAGCTGATGTCTCTCAGTTTTGTCAGGCCTAAAATACTCCTGAGCAGTCTCCTCTTTCCTATAAATTTCCTAACCGACATTTTCTTCTTCAATTGCAAAATGATTTCAAAAATTTCCTGAATAAAACAAGTCTATGCATAAAGGTGGACCCAGACTCTCCCTTCTATTAATATAGTTTTGTTTAATAAATGCCACAATCCTCTGGAAATTCTCCTCCTTCTTTTAAAGCCCTTTCGTGTAGCACCCCAACATTTCTTACAGATTTGTTAGCCAGTGAATTTTCAATGATGAAAACTCATGTACTTGCAGTTTCTCAAGTATCTCATCTCTAATTCTTGGTCTGTATAAGAAATGGATTAAGCATTTTTAATTCTCACTAGAGAGGCCTTTTGCATATGTTAAATTCAATATTCTAACTATGTCCAAATCTGGCAAATTCTGTCAGACAAAAACTACGTGAATTTTATGCCACATCACAGGTCTAACAGCAATGGATCCAGCTGACCATGAGCTGAAATCTCAGAAGTTCTACGCAAAAGTAAATCTTTTCTTCTCTAAACTTCATTTCTGAAGTAATCTATCACAGTGATACAAACCTAACTAACACAGATGATTTGCTGAATGACTATTTTAATATTATCTTGGGGAAGGCATTTTCATGTACAACATATAGTTTTACCTCAAGGTAAAAAAATATCAGAAGGGAAGTGTAGATTCAACACTAGGAATAATTGCTTTGCTTAAATTTATCATTAACTACCTCTGTTAATGCTTTAATTAGATATAGTCAAATGAAAACATGAATAAGACTTTGACCCTAATTTTCCTCAAAGCATTTAACTACTTGAAAGATTTACAGAAGGGGAATTTTGAATTATAGATTAAGTTGCACACTAAGTATAAAAAGAACAAATTATTCAACAAAAGATCTATATTGTACTTAAAAAGTTTAATCAGAATCATATTCCTTACCTTCGATTGATAAAATTTCTTGTTATCATAGAACTTTGCTGGAAGGTACCTTCTTCCAAACAGATTTGCCAGTACTAGCACTAGCTTTTCCATAACATCTTGAGAAAAACGCTTTGAGCCTACACACAAGAAAATGTATTACAAATATATTAAAGTATTTGTCTATTTTTTCATGTTTAAATGGAAAGTTTCATTTCATATCATTTCATAGAAAATAAGCATTGAGACAAAGATAGCAAATGTATCTTCTAACAGTTTTCATCTGTAATTTTTTTAATTCTTGCTTCTGCTCTACCTCAGATCCTAGTTGCCCCAACCATGAATTGCTTTTATCTCCTTACCAACATTTTCCTCCTTTTATTCAATTATCATAGATAATCAAGATTTCCTACAGCATTTGTGACTATGCCTCTCTCATATACTCAAAAATCTCCAATGACACCTAAATATACAATAAGTAATATTATCTATAGTTTAGGGTTTAAGGCTTTCTGAAATTCATCCCACAAATAATTTCCCAAGCCTATCTACCCACCTTCCCTTTCTGCTACTCATACTAAGTTATTCTCAGCTTGAGTTCCTCTATTTTGCACGGCACAAAAACATTCAACTGCAGGGTTTAAAAACTTGCGACATAAATGTCAAGCTATTAAAATAGCCTGGGCTCTAGAGTCAGACTACTAATATTTGAATCTTGGGTCTGAATTGTTAAATGTACAAAATCATGATAAATTATTTAATTTCTCTGTGCCTCAGTTTCCTCATTTATAAAACAATGTTAATCACATTATTTCCCCTAAAGTTATTGATTTTCCTCATCCTTACAAACATATATATCCACCCAATACATATTAATAAGCAAAATTTTATATCATCTTTCCTGAAATTATTTGTTCTTTGTTCAGATATTTCATAGGAACAAAATTTCCCAAGTAACTTTGAGTCACAGAACAATGCATTTTTAGAGCATAGTGACTAGATCTATTGTGAAGTAAAGCGTTCCTATCAATTGGTAAAAAGTAAGGTAATGTGAAAGATACCGAATTCACCAGCCATTAAGAAACATAGTAAGTTTAAGCACAAATATTACAAAAGAGCAAAATTTATTTTATGGATAATAAGTAAGGACTTTACTGCTTGAATATAAACATGAAAACATTTTCATAAAAATTATGCTAAATGAAATTTACTTCAAATTTACATATTATGGGCAAAATACAATATGCTAAGGGGGAACAAAACTCCAGTTTATACAGTTAATATAATATCAGTGATTTTAAAATACTATACAATTATACTCAAAGAAAATATGATTGGAAGAAAATATTAATAGTGGTTATCTGCCGATAGGTGATGTTCTTTATTCTGTAATGAGCATATATTATATTTCATTAGAAGAAAATATTTTCTGAAAATTATATATAATTCAGTATGTTCTCAATCCTGGAAGAAAGGCATAGCTGAGGTTAATACATTCAAGAAGCTGACATTGTAAAATAGGTGTGAAAAATATCCCTATCTTCCGTCTATGTGAGTATTTAACTTTATTTTATCTAATTTGAGGATCTGTAAATTACCTACATACTAACACTACAGAAAAATCAATTGTGAAGCACTAGCTTTCCACAGCCTGCTCAAGCTTACCTTTTGCAGTTGGTTGACAAAGTTTATGGAAAAGGCCTCTCACAAGAAAACTGACAAAAACCAAATTAGAAGGTTCGTGATAATGCAAATGTGATACAAGTCCAGCAAACCCGATAGGATTTCCTTCTCGATCTAGATAGCCCTAAAGAACCAAAATAATTTATTATTTTGACTCAACTCACTACATAACCAATAAGTAGCTTATTTACTAGCAGTTTAAATGAGTATTTAGTAACAATATAAAACAGAATGATAACGACTACCTGGTCTACCTTTGATAATTGTATCAGTTATAGGTAATATTAATCATTGCATATAACCATCTAAATATTATAGCTAGTTCTGCATGGTAAGACAATCTAGATAATAATAAAGCTATTTCACAGAAAAGCAAAACACAATCATACCTCTTTCACCAAGAACTGCAAAGAAAATAAGAAGTAAAGTTTTAACATTTCCATGGCTCTGGGTCGTTTGAAGGACAGCAATGAATGCTTTAGCACTGACAGCGCCTAAGAGAAGAGCACTTTATTCATATGATGCCAAGTTTATGAAATCTATATATATGTTAAATTTTATTTTAAAGAGAATAAAAGCAATACAAAACATTAGAGATGATACAGGGTTTCACAAAACAGGATGACAGGAATTCAACAATGGTTATAATACTTCATATTGTTGCTTCAAAGCAGTTGCTCATATTAACAGATAAAAGAATGCAAAATTGGTCACAGACAAAAGAAATATAAGGATTAACTGTTGCTTTTAATAAATCAATAGAAACCAGTAGTACAATTATCATATATATAGTACAATTATCAGTATATATAGTACATAGTATATATATATAGTATATATATCGTGTAAACTATGTGTGTATATAGTATATACAATATATGTATATACCTATATACATATGTAGTATATACATCACATATATAGTATATATACTATAGTATATATAGTATATAATCTATATAGTATATACTATGTACTATATATGTATATATGTACTATATATAGTACAATTATTATATTATATAGTACATAGTACATTTATATAGTACAATTGCATAGTACATAGTACTATATAAATGTACATATACTATATATAGTACAATTATCATATATATGTATATATATTTTTGTTTGTTTGTTTGTTTTGTTTTGTTTTGTTTTCCCCTGCCTTGTGTCTTTCTTTTTCTCCTTTCCGGCATCCCAGTTGTTCCTTCCTTTGGAGCAGTTTCTTTCCCTTTCACAATATGTACTGTACCTTTTTTGTTTTATTTACTCTTTTAAGTTCTTACACTAGAAAGACAATACAATGTTTACATATGTGGGTCTGATTTATTTCACTTATGAGTATGTTCTCTAGTTGCACCTATTTGCCTGTAAAAGCCTCAAGTTTATCTTTCTTTGTAGCTGAGTAATACTGCATTGTATAAAAGTACCACATCTTTTTTATCCGTTCCTCAGTTGGTGGGCATTTGGGTTGTTTCCAAGGTTTAGCTATGATGAATGGCACTGTTATAAACATGGGTGCACATATATCACTGTAATATGATGTTTTCGGTTCTTCTGGAAAAATACCTATAAGGGAAATAGCTGGGTTGAATGGGACCTCTAATCTTAGTTTTCTAAGGAGTGTCCACACTGATTTCCACAGTGGTTGTACCCATCTACACTCCCACCAACAGTGGAGAAGGGATTCTTTTTCCCCAAAGCCCTTCCAGCAATTGTTTTTAGTTGACTTCCTGATGATAGCCATTCTTTCTGGGGTGAGATGGAATCTCAGCGTTGTTTTAATTTTCATTTCTCAAATGACCAATGCTATTGGATATTTTTTCACATATTTATTTGCCCTTTGTATTTCTTCATCTGAGAAGGGTATATTCATGTCAGATGCCCATTTTTGGATTAGATCTTTGAACTTGGGGGCCCTGATTTTTTTGTAATTCTTTATATGTTCTAAATAGAAGTCCTTTCTCTGAGGGACAGTTCGCTAAATTTTTTTCCCAATTTGTGGGTTTTGTTTTCACTCTGTTGGCGATTTCTTTTAATGTGCAGAATCTTTTCAATAGGATGAGATTCCAGTTGTTGATTATTTTATTTCTCATGTAGTTTCATTTTTTCATGAACTCTCTACTTATCCCTATGTCTTTAAGATTTCTACCTACTTCCTCTTTCAGTAGATTTAATGTTTCTGTTTTAATATTTAGATCTTTAATCCATTTTGATTTTAGTGCATGGTAATAGACATGGGTCTAGTTTTAGTTTTTGGCATGAGGAAAGCCAGTTTTTATAGCAACACTTATTAAAGAAACTATCTTTCTTCCAGTGAACATGTTTGGTCCCTTTGTCAAAGAGAAGGTGGCTGAGTGTGTTTGTAATTGTTTCTGCATCTTCTAATCTGTTCCATTGATCCTTGGTTTATTTCTTTGCCAGTACCATGCTGATTTTAGCACAGTAGCTTTCTACTATAATTTTAATTCAGGAATTATGATGCTTCCTGCCTTGCCTTTGTTGCCCAGGATTGCCTTTGCTATTTTTGGTCTTTCTGGTTCCAAATGAATTTTAGGAATGTTTTCTCTAGATCTATGAGATATGCTAATGATATTTTGATTGAAATTGTATTAAATCTGTATAACAGCTTTAGGAGTACAGCCATGTTCACAATGTTGGTTCTTCCTGTCCGTGAGCAAGAAATATCTTTCCATTTTCTGATATCTTCTTTGATCTCTTTTTTTCAGAATATGAAATATATATATATATATTTTTTTGAGTCAGGGTCTCACTATGTAGTTCAGGCTGTCCTCGAACTCACTATGTAGCACAGGCTAGCATCAAACTTGTGCAATCTTTCTGTCTCAGCCTCTCAAGTGCTGGGATACAGGCATGTGTCACCATGCACAGTTTATGAAATATATTTGTAAGAGATATCATAAGATAGATATTATCCATATCAGTTATACTACACATATATTAACAATATATAAACCTCATCTCAGTGTTTTAGTATTTACTTTACTGTGTTCTAACATGTATATTCTTCCCTTAATAAAACAGAGCACATAAAAAAGAATTATGAGAAATGAAACATATTTCTAAGCAATCTAATAGTAAAAGACCTTCCAGTTGAAGAGTTTATAGCATTGTATTTGTTTGAGAAGAAATGAAGGGATATATATATGTATACACATATATATATAATTTCCATATCCTGTAGTATGATTGCACAAATAGTGGAACTAGATTTATTAAAACCAAAGAAATAAAAATACTGTTTGGTTTCCAGTTTCAAACAGCACTGCATTTCATGGAGATTTCAACTTCCCACTAAAATGTCTATGAAATTTTAATAAAAGAAAAAGTCCCCAGTATCACCAAATTTAAGCCTCTCTGAATTTAGGCCTGAGAGTGTACAGATGAAAGAGTGATTCCCATAAGGCCAATGGACCAAGGAGAGCAGCAGGAACAGAGAGCTAAAGGAATACAGTAATCATCACTATGAGGTAACTTCTTAAGGTCACCAGAAATGACCTTTCCTACAACCTCTTGGGCCACATTCTTCGTGTGTCACATGTAGTCAGGAAAGGCCAGTCAGAGGAAATCATAGAAAATCAGAGTATATGCTTATTACAGAATAAACAGAGAAAATCAGAGAGGTAGGGCAGTCACAGTACTTCACTGTGACCTTTGAAGTATAGACTCCATGATCAAAGTCTACTTAAGATGGTAAGAATCCTGAAACATTGCTTACTGTGGTTTATGCTGATTTAGTAACATTCAACATGATCAGTGTGAGAGCAAAACTAGTAGAAGTAGACGATGACCTTTCAGTGGAGAAAAGCTACTAAAATGAAGATAGGCTAATAGATATTTTGGCCAAATCTCTTCATTCACCCTCAGATTTGAAAAGATTTTAATTAATAGCATTTAGTTAGACAGAGCTCAGAAGAAAACATTTTATATATCCACCTGTTTGGCAAACCACCAGATTTGGATAATTTTCTTTTTTAAAAAGAAGCTAAAAAATTAAACAGAAGCAAATAACAAATAAATCACTTAATTCTGTTTCAGTTCAAAAAAATACCTGAGATTTTGAATATATTTAATACTTCTTAAATGTACATTTTATTTTGTGGGGGGTTCTTTTGGAGACAGAGTCTTGCTGTGCAGTTCTGGCTGGCCTTGAGCTCACTTTGTAGCCCAGGCTGGCCCCGAACTCACAACAATCCTCCTGCCTCAGCCTCCTGAGTGCTGGGATTACAGGCGTGCGCCACCACACCCGGCCAAAATGCACACTTGAAACTACTGACCTGGTAAATTTTATGTCCAATGTGATTTTATCACAATAAAAACCTGAGCACATTAAGATCGAAAAGTCTCATCATGTGATAAATAAAACGCCAATTTTAAAAAAGATCCATGAAAAAGAAAATCTTGAAGAAAACAATTTGAAGTAGGAAAAAGAAAAGATTATATGATTATAGAGGCAGAAAAAGTCAAATTAACTGCAAAAGAAAAATAAAATTAACATGGCTCCACTAACTGAGATCTCAAAAGAGTTTATTCCTCTTAACACCAAATGCCAGAAGGTCATGAAGCAATATGTTTGATGTGATAAATAAAAAGTGTATTTTAACAATTACATGCCCACATGTAAAAGCAAGCACGCAAGGTCACAGACAGATCCTCTCAACGATGTCCACTCTATGTGTTTCAAAAAATAATAATAAACTTTATTAGAAGATGCATTCCACCCTATAGGAGAGGTGAAAATTAAAATCTAAAATGCTAGAAAGTTTTAGTCTAAGGTTATACATGCCTACTCTATAGAGCTAGCCAACTCATCATAACTGTCTATCTGATGTAAGTGAACCCACAAAAACAGAGAAGAATAGGTCTTGCCATGGTATGAATATAGTTTGGCTTCCTGAACTTGTGCTTGAATGCATTCCCCATTGTGAGGTATTAGGAGTGCAATATTAATCTGACTCTAGTGTTTAGTGGCGGGGCCTTTGAGATGTGAATAGAATTAGGTAAATCTAACAGGGTAGAGACCCCAAGATTGAATCCTGGTAGTTTCATAATAAGAGGTGGAGAGGCCAGACAGAGACGTGCATATTCACTCTCCTCCCATGTGCTACTCTGTGCCTCCACAAGCTGAGGCTAAGAAGGCCATCATTAGATGCAGCCCCTGGACGTTACACTTTCAGAATCTGTGGCATGGTGTAATAACAGGAAATGGACTCATACGGGTCATTTCAACAGCATAATATTTTCACAAAAATGAAATCACTTCATTACAAATTTTAAATCTCTCCTGGGGATGGGTCCCCAAAATGTTTTTCTTTTTTTAAAAGCAGAATATATTTATTGAGGGAAAGAAAGCTTCTGTCTGAGAGAGAGAGAGAGAGAGAGACAAAAGCAGGGTCCAAGTGGGTTGCCCAAGATTGTCTTTTCTAGGGGCTTTTATAGAGAAAATTAGGAGGTGAGGCAGGTCCAAGGTAAGGCCAAAATGGGAAATCACAAGGTGGACATGAGGTGGGGCAAAACTATGGTCAGCTAATAAGAATTGTTTAGGCAACATTGATTAAATTGGGATCAAATGGACAAGCGAGTCACATAGCAAGTGCGGCCCCAAAATGTTTATCTCAACCCAAACATCAGGAGAAACTTAGAACCATTTTCTGAAGTCCAATTATATATAACTTCGTCTGTGTTGAAAAATCAAATTAAAAAAAAAAAACCCAAAGCACAAACATGCCTTAGACAGAAATGATTAAATCAGAATGATAATGTGATTGTCTCTGGGTGCTAGAGATAGATGTATGTGTTTTTTTTCTTTCAACTTTCTAAATTTCTTGAATAGTCTTTAAGGAGCTAGACTACTTTTTGTGGAAAAATAAACTTTTATTACAGAATCATAAAATGTGCCATTTTCCTTTTAAATGGAAGAAACAGGAATCTAACCCAAACCTTTTTATAGCCACACTCATCACTTTATCTGCAGCAAAACCATGTCTATCACACAGGAAAACAACATCTTAGGTGACTTCCAGGGCCCATCCAGCTCAAAATTTATGTTTAATAAAGCGAACAAACAAAACTAACTATGATGCTCCTCTACTTCCCATAGGTCTCTCTAGAAGACATTAAAAAGCATTAAAAGACCTTTGAAAGTGAAGGGTTATTGCTACAGATTTCCAGGAAAAAAATAAAAACAGCAGACCCAACCTACAGCCAGATCAGTGGCCAAGGTAGGGTGCTGGTGGTGCCCGGCATGGTACCTTTGCTTGGCCATCCTCTAGGTCATCTGCCTTGGAAGCCAGAAGCATGAGTCGCAGGATCAGTGTTATCTTGAGAGGGAACTGTCCTCTGAGCTCAGGAACTTTGGATTTTATGAGTTTCCCTACTTTGGGGAGTGGAATATCAAAGAAAAATACTTCTCCCAGCAGGTCTTGCCCCCGTCTTCCAGCACGACCAGCCATCTGGAAGCAGAACAGACTCACAATGTGAAATTCTGCTAAGCACTTTTTCTTTTATAGAGAAAACACTGAGCTTTGTCTGTTGTTTTCAAGCAAGCCAATTGTGCGTCGGTTCACAGTTTACTTAACTGAAATGAATAGTTATTCATGTAGGCCTTAGGAGATTTACTATGACTGTGTCAGACTTGGAAGAAGAGACATCTATCACTCTTATCCACTTGTTTCATACCATTAACTCTACTAAGTATCTGTATAATGATATGTGGGATGAAGAACATAACATCAAAAGATTGTCACCTGATTTTAACCTCACTTATAGATGAACTCTGTTGCACCAATTTTCCCCCTCCCCAGATCTTCTCTCTCTGATTCCTTTCTCTCCCGCCCCTTCTCACATATAAATGTGTTATGCTACGAATTACAAAAATAAATACTGTGCACAAAGCAAGGAAATACGGGAGTGAGATGCAAGTCAGAAATGCCACTTATAAAACAAGTTAAGAATAAATTCTTCAGAGAGGTTATTCTCACTAAGGTTATTCTCATTGAGTACATGGAAAGTTCTGGGTCCTCTTTACTTTTCTGTCATACAGACCTTCCAGTAAGATATGAGATCTATAAAACTGCTGTGCCCATAGTGTGGAAACTGGGCCATGGAGAACACTGTAAAAGAAATTTACCCATAGGAAGACATCTAGAAAGTGGGACTGGGACTCAAACTCTGGCAATTTAATTCCCAGCTCTGTCATCCTAATACCCTGGATAATGAATCCAAAGGATGAGAGTCCCAAAGCTGAGATGCCAGGACAGTGCATGTAGAATATAACAGCAGGAATAGAAAGAAAAAGGAGAGGAGCTGGTAAGTTAGTGGGAAAACATAAGGATGTTCAATTGGGCAAGGACACTGTTTATAAGAGAATAAGATGTGTTTAAGAAGGAAAGAGGGAGGTCTTTGATAAAAATATAAATGCTGGGCAACCTATCTAAAGTTAACCAAATGTTCACCAGCACAGAAACTATACAAAGACTCTATGCCAGTGGTGGCACACCTATGGCATGAATATGATCATTTTTCTTTTACAGCAAAAGATATTAATGTATGAGCTCTTTTTCCTACCCTGAAACCTCAGTATTCAGGTTGAATTGAAGTGTTGGCAACTTGCAATAAATAAGTGGATTTTGGGTTGCAGTTTGACACTCGGTCTCTAAGAGGTTTGCCATGACTGTACTATGCTGTCTTCAGGACACAGAATAAGAATCTAAAATCAAGGAAACTGTTCCAGTTGGTCAACACTGTAAGATGAAAGAGTGTAGACAGAGAGATTTGAGGCAAAAATCACTAAGGAGAGTAATGAAGCAGGCTTGGTAACAGATTGTGTTTTCATAAAACAGAAAAAAGCATTAAACCCAGTGTGCAAAATCTTGTGCAAAGTAAAGGAACAAGTAACTGTTCATTATTTTTGATACATATCTTTCTTATAAATCACTTCATTTAATTCTTATGAATGTCATGAGATTATAATTGTCACCTATTCTGGAGACAGATCAGGAGGATCAGGAAGTTTAGATATCTCATGAAAGGTCACACACCTGATGAGCAGTAGTCATACAGTTTGAAATTCCTACGCCTTCCACTATACCGTGCTAAAAATGGCTCCCAGGCAGGGATGAACGCCAAGTATGACATGCAGTGAATTGTAGCCCGTTTGAAACATGATGGCTTACATTTCTTTTACTATTTTTATAACCACATTTTAGCAATTTATTAAACAAGCATATGCATATTGCAATACCTGTCTGTAATTTAAAGCATCCAGATAGACTGAGTCTTGAACAAAAACCACAGATCTACAAGGCATGTTGATTCCTAAAGCAAGTGTTCCAGTAGCTGTGACCACCTACCAAAAGAAAAAAGAACTTCATGCAAGCCTTTTAATAGAATGCAATTATTTCCTTCCACAAAGTTACTGAAACCTCTGAATTTTAATTACATCACAGTATGAAAATGATCAGTATTAGACACACTGATATTTTTTCTATTTCACAAACAAACACATTGGGTACTTTTTCAAATCAAGGCTGTTATAGTGCTAGTTGTGTGCCTGAAATGTCCTTCCTAAATACTCACTTGGAGGCTGCTTCCATTGTTTACTCAAATGTCACAGAGAAACTTCTGAACAGCCACACGGTAATCAGCCTCTACCATCATTATCTACTTCTCTGTTCTACATTATTCACTTTTTCAGGACTAACAACTACCTGAAGAATCTTGTTTGTTTACTTCTCTGATATTAGACTCCAAGTATCATCTGCCACTGTACCCCTACCACCAAAAAGGGTACCTGGCCCATTATAGGTGTCAGTATTTATAAATAAATTACTAGAAAGAAAATATATCTGAAAGGCCAGTAAATCTTTTATAAACCTATTATGGTCAATTATTTACTTCCTCTACTAAAGTTGATTGAGATATCTACTTAAATAACATATCTCTGGTAATAAGGAAAAATAAGACACCTCCACCCCAAATTTCCACAATAACTGACCATAAAAAGGACAGGGAAAACTCTAAAGTTTACCTGCATAACCCAATGTCTTGCTCTTTTTTTATCTAATGTTAGGTATTTCTGATTTTTCTTTCTTTTTTTGTATTGATTGGCATCTATGTCCTGCCTAATGTTAATGTTTAAGTATATGGAGTAATTGTTTAATAATTCAGTAACAGAGGTTATGCATCTGTCAAAATGTAACAATTTTAAAATATTTTTCTAAAGTTCTTTAATAAAAACAAAAATAGAAAAAGAAAGAAACAATTTAGAAAATAACCTTTATTTGTTCTTTAAACCAAAGAACTAGTTCCACGGATCTTCTCCAGAGGGATCTATTAATCATTCACTAAATTATCAGTAATTGAACAAGGACAAATAGACACTATTTTAGAAGTAAGATATGCTGATTAAAATAGGTCTCTTTTCCTTCAATTCATAATCATGTAGAAATATTGGCAATGAATTTTTTTAAAAATAATACTCAATTAGTTAAATAAAAAAACTCACCCAATTTGTTAAAAATATTTTCTGTCTTTCTAGATGACAAATTCCACTTTAATTATGCTGTCAGATGTTCTGCAAAATGTATTTTATTATGACCAGAGATTATGCTACATAGTCTAAGAGGATTTATATATCTCTTTACCTCATTCTCTTTCTCTCTGCATCTCCTGAATGCCGCATACATTATACACAATTTATTATAGATAATTTTTAAAAGTCAGGGTCTACTCTTAGCTATCACTTGAGATTCGCATTCACTAGCAAATTACCTAGATCTCTCTATGAATTACTACAGAACACCTTCCTATTCCCTCATGATACATACTGAACAAAATATAACAAAAGTTTGGTTTGAAAGTTGTATTAATTTATCTGCCCCTTTTTCACTGTAAGCCACAGGAATGAGAACATTTAGAAGTTACACCTCTAAATTTGACTTTGTGGTACACACCTATAATCCCAGCACTATGGGAGGCTGAGGCAGAAGAATCACAAGTTAGAGCCCAGTCAGGGCAACTTAGTAACTCAGTGAGAACCTGTCTCAAAGTTTTAAAAGACTTGGAATATGGCTCAGTACAAAGCTCTTGGGTTCAATATCCGGAGCCACACGCACACAGAAAAGCAACACATCCAAAGACTCTGCAGAGTCTCAGAAAACACATGTTCTTGCCTTTATGTCAGGTAATATACTAGAAAAAGATCTGATCACAACTCTCCTACAAATATCCTCCAAACCCACGGAGCCAAAGTCATATAAACAGCAAGCAAAATTTTCTAAGTGTTACAAACAAAAATCAAGGGGTTCTGCCAATATCGGCATGGGTATATTTCATAACAAAAATATTAGGGAAATCATCTGTTAAGGAAATATTTTTATTTTCATGAAAATAGATAAGCTGAATGATAAATTTTAAACATCTTCCCCCTACTAAATAAGATGGGGAAATACAGTCACATTATAGGTTGTAACAAAAAAGTGATAGAAGACATACTCACACAAGAAAAAGATGATTATATTTTTATTTTTCAAAAACATTCAACTTCCTTTTTTTTAAGAATGAAAAAGTACCTACCGTAATTAATCCTTTTCGAAAGAGAATTTCAACTAGCTGTTTTTCTTTGGCACTCATGGAGCCATGGTGATATCCAATACCCCTCGCTGCCAAATATTCCAGTTCTTTACCTTTTCTTTCGAATTTTACACGATCAAACACCATCTGCAATAACTAAACAAAGCAAGCAATTCAGGGATTTTGTTAGTTTCTTATCTAACTTTAAATCAACCAAAAATGTTTAGATGAAAATTACTATGCAGTAGGTACACATTCCCTATGATGAATGTGATCATCATTTATATCTAAATCGTACCAATAAAATTAATTTAAACATAAATTTTTAAAAAGTAATTTGATTGAGGCAAAGGTTAGACATTAATTTTACATTACTAAAAATAACATATTTGGGGGGCACCAACAGCAAAAACAAGCCATATTTTCTCAATTCTTTGAATAAACTGTCTCAAAGGGGCTCCCTCTCACTTCTGAGTTGAAACATTCCAACAGAGCAGTAGGCAAAATATGCAGGAAAGAGTGAGTTTAGAACACATGCTTGGCTGAAAGAGATCAGGTCACTACAGGAGACTTAGCAGGTTTCCCCACAGATACAAACTTCTGGGAGACAGAATTTTTCCCTGCTCTATAAGGTCATGCAACACTTACTTCCCACTGCAGATTAAATACATGGCCTTAAAATGCCCTGTTCTATAGAGTAAGTCGAATTGTGTCTAGAGTAATTTGTAGATTTGTAGAAAAGTGAGCACTGCTTCGGAGAGATAAAAAATGGTTAAATATCCAAAGCAAAAGTCTGGCTGATGGTTCTTTTAACAGCATAGTTAAGGAACTACAAGGTTCCATTCAAATGGTGATGAAAATACATGGTTATGGAAAAGGAAGATACCATGAAATTTAACAAACGTATAAAATAGAATGTGCATGTCTTTGTAAGAGTAGGCAAAAGAAATACAAGGTTCATCTTTAAGATAGTTATTTCTGAGTGATGGCATTGCTTTTAGGGTTGTGTTTTTCAAATTTCTCTGCCACAAGCATGAATAATTTGCAGAACAAAATAGTTTCAAAGATGAATGACAAAAGATGTTTAGAATCTCCAGTATCTCACTGGTGGATGGTTTTATCTATAATATAGAAAATCTTTGATTTTGAGAAATTCTGCAAGTATTTCTCTTTTTTTTTTTGGTTTTTTTTTTTTTTTTTTTGGTTTTTCTCCGGTACCGGGAACCAAACTCACGACCTTGCGCTTGCCAGGCAGGCGCTTTTGCCGCTGAGCTAAATCCCCAGCCCCTCTGCAAGTATTTCTTAAAGTATTTTGTACCACATGCACCCAAAGTTTCAAGTGAGACATGTGACACTGAAGTCTAGAATTCAGGATCAGAAAAATACCTCATGGAAAGGACAGATATGACCAAGGGAGAACACTGTCTTTTAAATACATGTTGGAGAACCATCAAGGGTTATGTGCGGCCAGAAGCTCTTCTATGGAGTCCTATGTGGAATTTCTCTTCTTGAAGGGATTGCATCTACTCTTTCCATTAGTCACTGTCTATAATAAAGGAGCTGTGGATGATAAGTGACATATTCTCCAAGAGAACGATGACCTTCTCATCACTGACCTCAGCATCCATCATTTTTTGATCTGCATATGTGCAATCCTGAGGAATTTCCATGTTCTTCTCTAGACTTTTCAGGAGACAATTATATTCAGCTTCATGTATGAAGTTTTGGCCCAATATTCTAGCTTTTTTCTCTCTTTTTTCATCTCTGTTTGTGAAAATAACATTTTAAGAAACAAATCTACACATCCCACCACATTGGAATCCCAGGACTCCTAAATCACTCTTATCAAGCAGACTTCTGACTACTATATGTATCTGTGCTGTCTTGACTCTGAACCTGCTGTTCTAACACACCGGTTGTTTATTCCACCACACATTTTAACCATAACGTTCTTGCTTTGGAACCAGATAACCACAGAGTGGATCCCCTGAAACCATAAACCAAGTGAAACCTCTCCTCCTTTAATCTGTGGGTGTCAGATTTGTCTTCCAGCAACAGAAAAGCTCACTAATACAATTCCCCCTTTCCAGTTTGCTAATAACTGCAAATAATATCTAGAACTTCTTTGTAAAACACATTCAATATATGTTTACTACTGGGGTGGTGAGATATATTAACTCTTTGCTGACCAATTTGTTCCGTGAAATACTTACAATGTCTTCCATTTCTCAACAGATTTCTTAACTTTTCGAAGTTTGCTAGCCGTGTCGTGTGCTGCTTTATCAGCTTTGGGAGGCCTTTTCCTCTCCTGCTTTTCCTCTAAGGAAATGGATACCCTCCTGGCACATTCTTCTACAACCATGATATTGAATCTGGGAACAAACAAAAAGAATAGTTGCCTTGAAAAGAATATCATAAATAAAATTCAATTTCTATTTCCATATATGGCTACTATTCTGATGTACCTGTTGTGTTTCTTAAAGCCCACCATTGTGAAGTTTACTCTGAAATGCACCCTAGATATTCTGGTTCCACAGACACCTTATCCACATCTAATAGTAAAGAATAAGTTTCCCTCCTTCCAGTTGTTGCCCCTCAAACATTGCAATAAGAGCTCATGTGAATTCTTCCTGTAAGAGCAGTCATACATTCATTCCACAAACAAGGGAATAACAAAGGATTTTCTCCATTTGTATACAGAAGAAACAGCTATTTCTCTCTTATGCTAACTCTTCCTGAAGAAGAAGAGAAAAAAGTTTTAAACAAATGAAAAGTCTTTTTCTTTTGACAGGGTGGAAACAATTATAAATTCTCGACCTTAGTAGCTTGCAATATGACTATGTCTATCCAGAAACCATATAAACCCCAGGTGTTGTGTATAATCCAGAAATATCTCCAAGGTCTGGACTTTATACGCTTTAAAATGTAAGTATCTAGCAACACAGCGGTCCATGTTTCTTGGCACCTTGATACTTAACATACCTAGTTCAGGTTATAACCATTAGAACCTCTCAGATCTGAACATTTAATTAAACAAAGGGCTACAAATGAAAGTCTCCCAATTGACAATGAGTAAAATAAAGCAAATATTCCTTGTATTTATTTCACATCCATTTCCCAATGTCAGGAATCTAGGGCTTTTTACAAGATCAAGATCACTGAAAAACTTCATGAAAGGTTTTTTATTCCTTTTTTCCCCCCTATAATGTGTTGATAAAATGCTGTGGCTGGACGAAGTCAATGGGCATGAATCATTATGTTAGCCATGGCATACACAGGAAATAATAGCTTGGCTCTATATAATGAAGTTAAATTAATTTTTAGGCAAAGACATTTCTATAAAAGCTTTTACAGGGCTTGATATTAAAAGGAAATGCAGTTAGCTAGTGAAATGCAGATAACTAGGCACACTGTTGAAGTAATATACTATATAAAAGGATCAATCTGTGTCACATATATACTATATGTGTCATGTGATAGTGACACTAAATGGCAAGAAATTTCATATTATAGACAGTAAAGTATAGCAATCAAAATATATTATTATATATTATAGCAAGATAATATTGCTATAATAATATTGGTATAATTGGTATATATTGTTATAATTATTATAGCAATATAAATATATTATACTTTCATCACATGCTATTATAGATGGCTTAAATATGTTAACTTATTTGATACACACAAAAAATGTTATGAGGAAGGTGTTATTATTTCTCTATATAGCAGATGAAAAAGAAAAAGAGAGAAAGAGACACAAAGAGATTAAATGACTTCCCCAAAACCCCACACCTCCTGTGTGGCAGTGTCCGATATCCTAATCCATCTTAACTGCAGTAATCAGTTGCTTTTCTTTTTACATTAATGGAAGAAAGCGGGGCCTAAGTACATGGTACTTTACTAAGTGATATTCCCATGATAATGCAACATTTTCATAAATCTAGCAAACTTGGAAATAATTTTAACCCAATTTCTCTAATAAGCTGTATAAAATGAATGTGATCTAGAGATATGACTGAAGACTAATTCAAATTATATAAGACCAAAAATTTGACAGTTTATATATTTTAAATTTTTTTTATTTATTGTTTGTCTGTTACCAGGAATCTGACTCAGGACCTTGTGCTTGCCAGATAGCTGCTTGTGCCACTGAGCTATATCATACAGTTTGTTTTATAGAGAACTCAAGATTCCATAAAAATATACCAAGATAGAATTAAATGTTTGATAGTTTCATGAATATTTTTCTTCTTAAATATTTTAAGCATATATGAGAGTTCAGAGCACGCCATTCATACTTTATTTTTGTGGTATATTAAATATTTTCAGTTAAAGGTGCTTGAAGAAACATCAGGTTCAGGATCTTTTTCATAAAAGTATTATCTTAGAAGCCCATGTGAAAGAGGTTCTTTTACCAGAGGGAGAAAAACATTCTTTGTATCATGGATGATGTGTCGAGGCCAAGTGAAATCTATACAAATCTTGTTAAACTAAAATTTATCTTCCAAGTTACACCTCCAATAAATTAACTACCCTACCCTTGGCTCCTTTGCTATATCACATTTTTCCAAATTATGACTCTGTCTAATTCATTATTAAGTGTTCAACTACATGCCTTTGGGTTTTCATATCCATATGAAGGTTCTTGTGCAACATGCAATTTATTTTAATTTGTATGCTTCTCTCCTGTTGCTCTTCCTTATATAAATTCATTTCTCAGACCCATTAAAAAAATGCTGAGAGACTGCAAAATTTTGCCTTTGCATATACAGATTATGAACAGTTAATTTTGAATTTCCTTTTTGTAGTTGGACTTTTGGAAATATCCCAGAGATAAAGAATGGCTCTTGTTTCTGACATCCTGGCCATTTCCGAAAGTGAAATGGATGAGCTACATAAATGCTCCATGGTCCAGAAATGTATTTTTCTTTTTGCAATAATAAAGATAAAAGGAACACTATTGTAATCATCCCCCAAATTTCAAAATATAAATTTTCATTCATCTATCATCATTACTTGAAATCTATATCACCCATGAGAATTCATTACTATGGTTATTTACATGTGAATATGTACCATTAAACTCTGCAATGACAGCAAGATTCTGTGGCTTTATGTGAAGATTTGTGGCTTAAGTATAGTTTGAAATTATCTGTAGTAAATAAGAATATTCCCTTCTGATCTCAAACTATGTATTTTGTTGAGGTTAATCCAGTTTATAGCGCATTATCCATTAAATAAATTATATTTTGAATTGTTATTTTTAAGTTTTAAATTACTGTTTACTCTAACATGTAAAACCTAGTAGGATTCCAGTGCCTGTAGGTCACAGTTCTCATCATAATAAATTAAAAACACTAAAATTTCCTGCCAGCAAATCTTCTAGCATATCACAAGACACTTTAATTTTATATGGGATATTTGTGTACATATATGTTCAGTTTGCTTCACAAAGGGGCTAGGTATGTACTAAAATTAAAGACAAAATAGTAATGATAAAGTAATAACAGCCATCAGTACAAAAACAGGAAAAAAAACAGGTTAACAAAACAAAGAATATAATCTACAATACCAAAACTAAATAAATTTTGTAACATTGAAACTAGAAAGGTATATTTTTTAAACAAAACATGCATTTAACTAACAAATTAGTCCCCTAAATAATAATGAATACTACATTACAAAACTAAAGTTTCTATGGCTCTTTCTACCTTAAAGAAGTTTCATATAAATTATAATAAAAACTAAAATTTATAACTTACATAAAAAATATTGCAGGTAACTTCCCCATTTTCTTTAGTTCTTCAACAAGAAGTGGAAATTTCATCAACTTATCTCCTGAACTAGAAGATGAATCAGGGCTAAGAGACTTCAGTACCATTTTAGCCTGAAAAAATAAATAAAACAAAATTATGATATGTCTTCCCAGCAAAGCAATGGATTGCTACTACTTTCTAAAATATCTTCATAGCTGTCTAATCCATGTTTCTGTGATTCTTTAAAATAGTACTATAAGTATATATTTTTAACATGCTAAAAATAGCCAAAGAAATATACAAATAATTAAACTAGAAAACAAAAATGTATGCAGTTGAACATACAAGTTTTAGGATGACTTGATTCAGCCTAAGAAAAGGATTGTTCAGCAATTGATACTTGTTCCACTCTGGCAGTAGGGAAGGGGCAGGTCAGTGTTTCAAGCCATGTAGAAAAATCAATCCCAAGTATATTTTTAAAGGCTGTTACATGAAAACAATTACAAAAAATTGTTGTGATCTAGATCTACAATGTCCCCCAAATATTTCATGTACTCAGAGGTGGAGCTTCTGGGGGCTGACTGGATCATGGGTGAAACAGCTGACTGTTGTTAGGAGGTGAGATCTGGTTGGAAGGGGAAGGTCACAGGGGGCGGACCTGGGAGGGCACACAAGTCTCCCTCCCTGACTCCTCTCTTCTCTGCTTTCTGACAGCAATGAGGTATGCAGTTCCCCCCACTATGCCATTTGTCCTAGAGTTAGCTGACCATGCATGGACTGAGACTACGACTGGAAGCCAAAATAAAAATCTCTTCTCCCTTAAGTTGCAGCTGTCTGGTATTTTGTCTCAGCAAGTAAGAAAGCTGATAAGACATTAATTACTTCACATTTCTGAATTGGAGGAGATCAAATTAAAACATAATGGAAAAAAAGCACATCAGAAAACCAATATATGTCTTTCATTAAAAATTAGCACTCTTGGGCCCAGGATATAGCTCAGTGGCACAACACCTGCCTGGCAAGTGCAAGGCCCTGTGTTTGATTCCTGGTACCAAAAAAAAAAACCCCATAAAAATCAGCAATCTCAATTTATGAAAATAAAACACTACAAATATAAAGATCAGAACTGACTTAATGAGTGTACTCATGATTCCAGGATAAAATTTTAATGAATAGTTGCCACAAGTTGAAAAACAAATATTTTTCAAAAACTGCAAGGCTAAAAACATGACAAAGAATAAAATTTTTCAGCTACCATGAGTTCAGATGTAGACCCTCACTCAGCTCCCTTCTGTTATAACATCTCTGAGGAACCAGTGGCCTCTCATTCATGTTGTAGCAGACACTGAGGATCAAAACCAATTGCTCCCTCTTCTCATTCTATCTCAGAATCACTAAACCTCAAGTATGATTTAAAATGCTAGAATGAAAATTGACAATGAAAAAAAAACGAACGGTATTAACTGACACAACTCAAGAAAACAATAAAGACACTGTAGTGCCTTGTCAAGCCATGTGAAAATTACCTGCTCTATATTGCCGTTTTTAATCCAATTTCTTAATTCTTCCTTTAAGCTCTCTTCATATTTTCTGGCATCCATCTTTTTAATGATTAATTTATTCTTAAAATGAGTGAAGTTCTCTGGACAGAGATTCTGGAAAAAATACCACAAAGCTACATAAAATTTTGCCCAAAAATTGAAATGTCATTCTCAATTACATGCCATATAAACAACCATTCAAATTCTTGAGGACAGAGACTGCTGAACTTATATTGTCTATAGTTTCTGAAACATAAGACTATGAGGAAAGGAAAGGATGAACTCTTCAAAGAGAAGGATGGAGACCAATTAAGTCAGAGATGAAAGAGAAAGCAATAGGGACAGAGAAAAAGAACCAGTGTGACCAGAGGAAAAGGAGGACTAGAAAACCAAGGCATAAGAGGAGACTAGAATACCACAGTATCTCAGAAGTTGAGAGAAGAAAATATTTTCACAAATTAAATAAACACCATTTAAAAAGTTTTAAGAAGCAAGTATGAGGGCTGTCTTATTTTTGAAGAGTCAACTTATAGCTTTGAAGGTTCAAATACAAGTGATTAGAAAGGGAAGAGCTCGGAATAGCGTTGCTACTATCCTCTATAACAGAATTAATTTCATGAATATTATTTACCTGGGCCTGTGGCCAACTTTTCCAGGCTTGAAGCATGGTATCATAAAGCTGGAGGCTTTCTCGAGGTGAAAGCATAAGGTCAGAAGGGAATCCATACCTTTCAATCTATGTTTGAAATAAAATTAAACGTTTTAATATTCTTTTTGTCTTACATCTTATTTTTTTTTGCCCCAGAAGCACAAACAGGAACCCAAAGTGAATGAATGACATTAAACCAAAATGTTCAAATGTTAGCAGTAATGTTGTTATATCCTAATAACATATCACCCATGAGTGTATTTGAATTACTAAATTATTAAAAAATCCAAAACTTCATCCAAAAGCTTTGATTTATTTCTTAAGACCTTTTAATTAGGTTAATCTTCTGTGGATTATACTTACAGTTCATGTTGGAGTGTGAGAAAATGGAAAGATTTGTGTATGCTGTAAACAAGAAAACTATCTCTGCTTTAAACCTGAGCCTGAAATTGTTTTAATTATGAATATAATTCTTTACTTTTATGTGTACCAAGCAAGGCTAAAAAGGACAAATCTTTGCCTAAATTCCAAGATAAGAACTTGGTCAACTTCAAGACAGTCTCTCAGTCGACCTTGAAGACACTGCAACAAACACCCTCCCAACACATCCTTGATTAGGCCAGTTTTAAGTCTTTGGAATATTTGTGCCATTCTTTTTTTCTTTTTGAAAAAATTTTAGTGAAACTCAAAAGTTCCCATTCTCAACAAGTTTTATTGAACACTTCTGCTGGTATCAACCACTACTGCTACAAATTGACAGTAAAAACCTGGTCAGTGACCTGCTCATAAGTATTTGCTATATGCTGAATGACTAATGACTGTTACCCACATACTCCCAGTGTGATAATTTGGAGTGCTGACAGCTTTTGGAGGCAATAGGTGATGAGAGAAGAACTATAAATGGTATTAGTGTTTCTGGCTTCCCTTTCACATCATGCAAGATGAACAATATCTAGAAAGCTAGCATTTGGCATGTGGGGTTAAATATCTGAGGAAAAGGATAAAGCAGGAGGTATCCAGGGAAGGTTCATGCAGTAAGTAAATGGATGAGACACTGGGATGTGGTCATAGAAGATCTTGGTTGACTAGCTACAGAGCCCTGCATTTGGCCCTTTCAAAGGGAAGTCTTTAATGATTGGGGAAGATCAGAATTATGTTAATGAAGTTTAATATGATGCAAAAATATAGACTACATTTAACTTCATAATTTAGGAAGGAAGACAAGCTATTGACCTACTGTCACCTTCACAAGCAATGGGAATTTAAATTGATCATTCACAGAAATAGAATAAGTGAAGAAGAGAAATACTCAAGAAAAAGTTAAAAAATCCTTCCCTATTTGCTCCTAATACCTCAGCTGAAATATTTTAGGTCTTTTTCTTACTGGTTTACTACAAAAATATCATATTGTGATTGCTATATATTGCTTATATTATATATATATAATATATTATATATATATATATACATGAGAGATATTTTTCCTTGCTAAACCTTATTTATGGTGATCAGATCCTCACAGGTACTAGCAGTTGTCATATGAAGTTTTAACTGTATGAGGAGAAGGGTACTGACAGGAAAGAACATGAGCAAAAAATACTGTCCAGGAATAAATACAATTTTAAAAGTTCAGGCTAAAACTTTGGTAGTTTTTGAGCTTTATAACCTGAAATACCATTGAAGAATTAAAGAAACTAGAAAGAACATCCCTGTTATTTGTAAAATTAAGGTGGAAATATCTGTTGTAAAGGCATCTATTATTTAATTTTAGTAAGTATCAAGTAAGCAGTTTTTCAATTATAATATAGATCAATAATTTTATTACTCAGAACAAACATAGCAAAGTTATTACTTACATGATCAATAGTTACTGCAGCACATGGATGAAAGTGATCAAAACAAATGTCATTCTTTTTGATGGAACATACGTACTTCTCTAAATCATTATACCTCTCTCCATAGAGCACTAAAATTGAAGGATACAACTTTCCTAATTAATGGAAATGTAATGACTGGGAAGAATTTCATCAGAAGAAGAACATCCAAGATAAAATTTATAAGAATATATCTAACCTACCAAGTCTAACTTTATACGATTGCTTTATTTGCAAATAGTTTTTAGAGAAACTGGCATGACAGCCAGCACTTCTTTTGGAGGCCATCCTTTTTTCCATTATTTTGTCTTCTTGTCTCCAGTAATGTTTTATTGATTGCAGCCACCTGAAAAATACATTTACATATTATTTGGGCAGCAAAGAGAAATAGTTCCCATTAATTAAATAGTTTCAGAAAGGACAACTGACAATTTTATGCCTTGAAAATGTATTTGAGAGACTGAATCTCAGCCTAAGCTCTGCAAGCTGTGGCTTTTAGTTGTACGATTTAGTGTTTTTGTGCCTTGTTCTCCCTCGCAATAGTAGTAGTTGCAGAAGCACTGTCTTCTAATAACAGTAATAGAAAAATAGTAAATCATAAGCCTTTCTGGTATTTAAGATAAATTAACATATCCAAAATACTTTGAACAGTAGCTGGCATATAGAAGATATTATAGGGATCAATGTCATAATTATTATTATTGTGCAAATATCACCCTCGATGACAAAAATGATACACAGCTTTCAATTGATTAAGCTTTGTTATCCTCTAGACATCTCCACAAAGTGGGACAATACATCTTAGGATCCATGGCTGAATGTGTCATTATATCTCTTTATTACTGGTTTCCTGGTAAAGAAAAAAATGAACACATAGTCATCATTTCTTATTAGACTATCTTAAGATATTAGGAGACATTTCCTACCAAATTGCACATCTGGCTAGAGTGGGGAGACCTTAATATTTGTAGGGGGTAGCCAGCACCTGCCAGGAAGTGCTAGAAAGCACTGTTTTGAAATCTAAACATAAACTATTAGTTAACCAGAAAGTTATAAAACTCTTCAAAACCTATATGGAAAATTTGAAATTCAAAGGTTTATGACAGGTAAGCATTCACTCCGAATTGGAATGCAATCCTACTCTGTGAGATGTTCAGGGTTACTTATTGTAGCTGAAAGAGCCAAAAAGGGACATCGGATCATGACAAGGAGATGCTCCCAGACTTCCGCTCCAATTTCTCCACCAAGACAATGGACCTGTTAAAGAAAGAAACTTTCTCAACTGAAAAAGTAGACTACAAAACACAAAATGAAAGCATGAAATATGCATATGCATAATTTCCCATTAGCATTATTTAAATATGCCAAGTTTAAATATGTATTAGAAAATCCAGGCAATAGAAAAGCTGGAAACCTGGATTTCTCTAAATCCTCATACCCCACCCAACAATATTTCCTCTTTGCTTCATTTCCAAAAATTTCCTTCAAACGTATGCATTTCTCTCCATATCCACGGCCGATGGAGCCACTATCACATCTCATGGCACTACTACAATAGCCTCTTGACTACTGTCCTTACTTCCTTTCTTGTCACCCTATGCCCCTCACATCACTGCCAAGATCATGATGCCTGACGTAATTTGGTCATTGCTGCCAATCTAGATTTATCTCAAGCCAGTCTCCCCCCATCCTTACTATGATCTGGACATATTGCTTTTCTTCATTATTCCTTGACCACACCACTCCTACCCAAGAGCTTCTAATTATTGTTCCCTCTGCATGAAATACTCTTATAAATAAAACTTTAAAACAACAATAAATACTATTATTGCCTCCTACGGAACCTGCAGAATTCGTCTGAATGTCACTCCTCGTAAAAGAGTTTCATGTTCATCAATTCCAGGGTTGTCTTCCTGTGACCTTTCATTATTGTGGACATGACCACCCACTCTTTTCCTTCACAGTACTCACGGGGGGGGCGGGGGCTTACAATCATTTGTGTGCTTCCATGTTTCACTTCTCTTTCTCACTTAAGCTGTAACCTTACACCTGAGTATTCCTAGCACTGACAGGGTGCCTAACACTCTGGAAGCATTCCTTAAGCACTTACTAAATAAAGGACTGAATGTCTGTTGACCAAATGAACTAGACTATGGAAAGGTTTTCACATATGATCTGAATTAAACAGATTACATTATGACTCCTGACAATCAACTCAAAAGGACATACGATCAGAACTATAAATATATTTATGCATATTTATTTATGAATACACTTATAGCACTTTTCCTCTGCTCTGTCACAGTGGCCATCAATGCCATTCAGCTATACCCTTACATAAAATTGCAAAAAGTAAGGTGTTATATCACCTCAGACATTTGACATTTGACTAAAACTCAAGGTTCTAAGTTGCATAGACAAATTTGCTGAATTTTATTTTGGTTTAACAAGTAGGCAAATCACTCAGCGTGCAACATATATAGATTAACCAAAAATAAGTACCATAAATTACTACCAAACAACTCAGGATGGAGTGTGTTTGGTAATTTCAAGTTTATAACATGGAAAAGGTAAGGTGAATATGGTCTTCCTATTTTTTTCCCTTTCAAATTGAAAATCCCTTAGAACAAAAGAATATATCTTTTTGAAACGTTTTCAGTCTCCTTGAATAAATATTTTTAATGATGTTTCTAAAAACTTTGTTAAATATCTTCATATGATCCTACCACTCTATATTGTTTTTGTCCCACTCTCAGGGAAACTGACCTATAGATACAACCTCAAAGGGCTGTTATGTTTACTGGTTCCACTGGATTTAGTCAACAGAAAGTCTTGGCAAGGGATCAGAAGAAAGGAGAACACGGTTAAGGTCATTGTTCCATTCCTCCAATGTTACTTGTGAACCAGCTGTGTTCCTCGACTAATGTACTCCTCATAATGCAGTCAACTAAATGTGCATATCCTTTTGAGTTTAAGTAAACCCCAGGGGGCGTGATGCCAATTTTGTGATAAAGGTGCATTTTGGTGGGTGTGTAATACCCACATTTATTCTTAGAATATTTTTATTGATGAATTATCAATTTTACACGTTTTATTATATTAAACAATAACTACTTAACAGTACAAAAATCAAAAAAGAAAGTATTAAAGTTTTAATATTTCTTCAGTATTTATAAAAAAAGCATTGAAATTTTCAGTATTGATGGCTGTTTTGGTGTACAAAGTCTAAAAAAAGAACAACAGAACTAAATTCCTATGTGAACTACAATGAAAATGCTAATAGAGCTCTACAAAAAATAATCTTTACTTCAATAATCATGCCTAAGGCAGTCTTCCCAAAAGACAACAGCACATTCCATACACACGTGTTGCTCACACTGACAGCACATGTGTTTTGTTTCCCTGGCCTTTTTGTAGGACATACTTGATGTGTATTTTCCTTTCTTGTGTGGCAGGTCATTCTTGTCACCTCTCTTCACTTTCTCTTTTGTCAAGAGCTTCCTTTTATATTGTACAACATGTACTTTACAGGAAAATAAGATCAGTAAAATATCAAATATCAAATGTGTTTAAAATAGACATCAACATATTCACATCAGCTGTGTACTTGCCTACAAAGCTTAAAAGATAACTTCAAAAATAAAAACCTATGTGAACTAGAATGTAAATCCAAACAAAAGCTTATGACAGAAGTAATCTTTGTTTCCATTTTCACACCCAGAGCAATCTTCATACATGAAAACTGAACGTTACATGCATAAATATTGCTTACATTAGTGGCATGCTTGTTTTGTTTTTCTGTTCTTTTCTGTAGGGCACAGTTGACATCTTTTTTGTTTCCCTGCTGTCATAGTAGGTCTTTAGTATGCTGCACCTGCCTGTTCTTACCTGTTAGCTCACTGGTAGGGTCAATAAATTTTTCATACTTCTTGGGACAGAATGGTGTTTTACCTCTGCTCTATATTATCTCTTATGAGGTCCAGTCCCAGTCCTCTAAGAAAATGTCTCTGTGGTATTTTGCACTTGTTATTTTCTTTATAAACCATCAAACTATGCCACACATGTTTAGGATCAAATAAAACACACCACTGGCCAATGCTTTGTATTTTGAGTGCCATCATAGTTTCTGCATAACTCATCAACAACATCTAATTTGACTTTAGTTTTGCTGTAGAAAGCTACTGTCTCAGGCTTCTGTTTGTTAAGGTTTCCCTATCAGTATTTCCATAATGGTGCATAGCTAACATCAGAAGTACCAGTTTGCTTTTCTTTGCCATATATGAAGTCAATATTACATCTTTCTGAAACTCAAAGGTTGTAGTATACAATTTTCTGTTTTGAAATTGCAACTCTACATTTGGAAAATATTTTGAAGGTTTTTTGGCATCTACTACCTAAAGCTTCAGCAACCATGAAATGCTGCAAGATGTTATTCAATAGTCATGTATTCAAATGGTGTATAGATTGCTTGGCCTCTTGAAACAAAACTTTCAAACAATGAATGAATAGCAGCCAAATGATCATTTAATCTTCTTTCCTAGTAGGTGATTTTGTCAACAAACCTCAGGCAACTTTGAACGAAACCAAATCTTCTCAATGTCATCATTACTCATAAAAGCTCAAGTCCACACTCATAAATCTTTTACACTCCTCCCATTACCATAAGAAAGTCCTGCTAAGTATAGCAGACCTATGAATCTTTCAGTTCAGCTAGTGAGGTGTCATAATAAATACATTTCTGAAGTATGGCTGCATGCAAAACATTTTACTTATACTTCACCATTTGTGTATTTTGCAGCATCTTGTGGCATTTCATCTGTTACAAACAATTTCCAACGTTGAATGGCAGTGATGGCTTTTCATACAATTGGTTTCACCCCTGCCAAAATCCTTACCATATTTTCAGAGGTTGTTCTAACACTGGATCATTCCATTTGGTTGTGTTACGATTTTGTACCATTTCAACTAGTCAAATATGCAGTAAGATTGATGTTTTCCTTGTCATCTGAATCAAGGAAGCCTTCATTCCATGTGTCTGTATCAGTCTATTCTTGCTCCATTTCACTGTCACAGGAAAATTGGCTCACATGGTGAATGTCAAATCCTAAACGTATACCTGTTGCTGCTTTGGAGTTCTTGCACACACTTCTCCATTCATCTGCCAACTGAGTGAATGCACAGATGGCTTCCTCCTTGCCCACTGCCCAGCTACTGTGAGCCACACCCACATGCCTTATGGTACGTAACAGATAAATGGTATGAGTGTTTGACCCTCTGTGATGCTCAGGGAAACATGCAAAAATGGTTACATGGAGCGTTATGTGGGTCAATCCCTGTTTGACACTTTTGCACACATGCACACACCTTGCTGTTTACTGTACTGAGTAAACACAAAGATTGCTTCTTATATCCCCCAGGTATAGCTACTAAGAAAAAGCACAACCAGCTACTATTATGCTAAAGTATAAATTTACAGTAGAAAATTAAGAGATGGGTTTTTGTAATCCAGTGTGAGGCCCTTAAATAAATACTTCCTTACTTTGTCTCTTTAAGCAGTGGAGCAAGTTACTACCTCTGGTTTCCTCACACACATTTTAAAAACTAGCCTCCTTGAATTACAGTTTGTGTGTGCCATATGTTTTCTGTTTGGACAATACTGTAATATGTAGCTGACAGCCCTGGTAGAATTCAAAATTTTCTGCTTAAAAAAATCAAAGATTTGATTTTGAAATCTATATGCAGGGAAGCTTATGTCATGGCATTTGAATTCTGTTCACCCTGAAACATCTGTCTCCAAAGAAAGTTTCCTCTTGCACACAGTGCTTTAAAAGGTGCACTAACACCCCTATAGAGTCATACAAAGGAAGGGAGGCAAAAGATTGATTATGATTCACTGGGGGAACTTAGCAGAAGACAGAACTACTCTCTCTGCCCAGATCTAAATGCCAGAAGACAGAGTCTTGCAACCACCAAAGATATTCATTATAGTGTGTGTGTACACTGGAAATTAACCCAGAGAAGTAAAGCAAAACCTACCTCATCAAATATAATGTATCTAATCCTTTTCACCCATTGTTGGCGATGAGGAGCCAGCAGCAGAATTTCAAAGCAGGCAGGCACTGTAACAAGTACCTAAAATAATAATATTGCATAAACTAATACATTGAACACTTAGTAGACACAAGCATCGTTATAAAACTATATATGATAAGTTATGGGTCCCAGATGTAACTGCTGCTAATTAGGATATAATGTTACTTGTGAGTACTAATTTCATTAAAATTGTGATGTATTAGTCTGAAACATATGAAACTTTAATTTTTGTAGCTCAAAAGTGCTAAAATGTTAGATTTTAAGTTTTAACTATTTTATTCAAAATATTAGCATATATTAAGTATTCAAAATAAAGTTTTGTGACATTTGCAAACATGCAGATGACAGAGTTTAATCACATCCATCTTCTCCATTACCTCTTTAATGAGCATTCAGTATTAGAAAATAATACTGTTCATTGTCAGTATTATTGTGTTCATTGTCACAGGTTTGAACTTTTAAAACCTAACCCTGCCATAGAATTTGGGTTGAATTGTGTTTACTAAGAATCAAAAAGGGAGCCAGGACTGGGCAGCGAACTAGGCCAAATTGCAGACTGGAAGAGCCTCAGCCAATATACCTCAAAGTTCTGGATGAATATTGTCTGTCTGGTTTTTTACATCAAACCACTTTTGTATACACGCTTAGTTCAATCACAGGATATAGACAATACAGGAAGATCCAGGAACAACCGGCATCTGTCTTCACCACATACCTCACATGTGGGCAGCAAGTCCTCTCTTGAAAGGCAATTTGAGTAGCACATCTCCATGTGTACTACATAGTATCCTACGATCATGAATTTACTTTTTTTTATTCTATATTATGATCAGCAAGTTTATTTTTTTGTTTATTTGTTTTTGTTTTTCTTCCGGTACTAGGAATCGAACTCATGACCTTGCACTTGCCAGGCAGGCACTATGCCACTGAGCTAAATCCCCAGCCCCAATCTGCAAGTTTAATAAGGAAGAAATCTGTCTGTGATTTCATTAACAAAGGCATAACATTCTTCATACATGTTTTATAGAACCCTTCAAGAGTGCTTTGCAGAAAACATGATTTGAAATTTCTATTAGATTTATGACTTACAGTATTCATGCCATCATTTTGAATCCATTTATAAACCATCGTAGTGTAATGAACTATAGCTGAAATGTAAAATCAAACTATAAAGTCCTTAGAAAAATGATAAATTCTATTTCTTACTATTCAGAATGTAACAAAATTATATTTTCTCTAAAGCCTTTTTGCCTTTCATAAATTAAGGAAAATTATTTTCACAAGGACTTTTGAAGATTTTGGGTTTCTATCAGAAACACATGTAAGTACTGTCACATAACTTGATATCAAGTTTATTATGAACATACCCTACCTGACAGTTGAGGGCATCATGACGATATTCCCTTGTAAAAACACCACAAAGAACTTGACCATCTGGCAGATTTTTGGTGTAACGATTTTGAACAGTTGCTGCCACTTGATTAACGAGGGCCTGATTGACAAAGAAAGACAATTAGTCACATAATAAAGTATACTTACATGGAATGTCAAGAGACAACAGTTATTGCCAAAGAGTATGTCCTGCTAGGCGTACAGAAAGCTTAGGAACCTCTGCTTCTACCCATATTTCTAAATAGCATAAAACAAATAATCCCTCTGAGATACTGAACTGAGACTATAAACTTCATTAATAAATTTGAAGTAAAAAAAGTTTTTACTTGAAATAAAAATTTTAAAATGTTGCCCACATGTAAGAAATAGAATACATGATAATATAATACTTGGATGGCCAACACTGAGAGAATAATTGATTTTACCACAGAGCAAAGTTCAAGTGAGGAATACCCAAGATAGACTTGTGTGTTTTCTATTTAGTGATGTGCCCTAGATGCCTGAAGTTGAATGTATACATGAATAAGGAGAGCCCCTATCAAGATCAAGCAAGTGACCTGCTCGGTGGAATTTATAAACCTCAAACATCTATCTCACACTTGATGCCAAACAAATTGAAAATCCATCTGGATTAAGACGTAAAATTTCATAATGCAATTATAAAGGTATTAGGAGGTGACATTTTCATATATTTAAAATATATGTATGAATAGCTGTGATAACCATATAACTGATGTTTGATGGTGTACTGAAATGAACAGTTGATGATTACAATTTTTTATGTTCTGATCCACTGTGCATGTTTGTGTCTGGTAGTCTGAGCAAGTGGTTTGAAGGTAACAATGTGCAATGGAATTACAATGGTGAACTCCTACCATCTTGCCTAGTGAAACTCTATTGTCTCTACTGTTTTATCGAAGAATTATTTTCTTAATCCCTATAATGGTTTGAGCAATCTTTCAGTCTTACATCTGGTAATCTGAGCAATGTAGCTGAGGATAGCGATATGTAATGTGACAACCGCTGTTGATTCGCATTATTTTGTCTTGATACTCTGTATCACTTTGAATGCTCTTACTTTGATTTGTTTATGTTTGTGATACTGGTATGCTGCTACTGTTCTATTTCTTTGGTTCTCATTTACTATTCTCTTTAAAAGAAAAAAATCTCAAATGAAGATATTGATAGCTCTGATTATGCAAAGATTTTATAATTGTCATTAAAATAAAGTAAAATGAGAAAATGACAAATGAAAGAACATTTCACTATCCTTAAATCAAAAACTTTAGCATGCTTATTGTACAAAGTTTTGATTTATTAATAATATTCAACTCCTTCCAACAGAAAAAAGTGAGTAGATGCATTCATAAATACTTTATGAATAAAGAGATTCATTGTTCAAATATCATCATCAACGTGCACCCTTCAAATCACTAATCAGAGATGTTAATCTCAACATGAAAGAGCAATTTTCACTTATGAATATGCAAAATTTATTAAATGTCAATAGATGTGCTGCAGAAGTTAAGAGAATGTACACTATTGTATACTAGCAGAGAGAAGTAAAGTGGACTTAAATTTTTAGGAGACCAAATTGCCAATATGTTCTGTGTTCAACTTACCAATTCCATTTTTAATAATCTTAACTTTTTATATATTTTATAAACTCCCTGCAATGGTAATTTCTTACTTTTATCACCATGAAAAACAGCAAAGCTACAACAAAAATAAAATACTAATTTAAACTAAGCATGCATGTCAATGTGTTGCTCAGGCTGATCTCTAATCATGCAACACTACATATTTTCCAAGAAACTAAAAGTCTAGTCCAGTTTAGTTGAAAGTCACCTGAACTCGAGCTAGAATCACCCAAATCAAATTTCTATAGAGTAACCATACTACATACAAAATGGTGAATGAGGAGATGCAGACTTTCACTTCCCATAAATCAATCTTTCTCCTACAAGACAAAAATCATTGTTTTTTGTTTTTTGTTTTTTTTTTAATTTAAACTTAGCAGAACTAAACACAAAGGAAATTTGGTAAGGTAACCTGGCTTGAGAAATTGCTCAATCCCCATTAGCTAATAGCAGATCAGATATATTCCAGGAAGCCCTGCAGAGGCAATACCACACCCTTAGTCATTTCACCACTGCCCAAGAAAGTGTGAGTGCTTCTCTCAACTCAAGCATCAAGCTCAAAACCAAGACCGCAAGACTAGCGTTTTCCTTTAATGGTTCCAAGGAAGGTTATATCTTAACCTCTAAAGCTGGAACAATTGGAGATTCCTCAGTAAACTAGGATTAGAGGTCCTGTTCAACCCAGCTATTCCCCTCCTGGATATTTTTCCAGAAGAACTGAAAACATCATACCACAGGGATATATGTGCGACACAATTTGTCATAGCTAAATCTTGGAAACAACCCAAATGTCTATCAACTGAAGAATGGATAAAAAGATGTGGTATTTTTATACAATGGAGTATTACTCAGCTATAAAGAAAGATAAACTAGAGGCTTTTGTAGGTAAATGGATGCAACTAGAGACCATACTCATTAGTGAAATAAATCAGATTCACATATGTAAACATCGTATTTCCTCCCTATTATAAGAACCCGAAGGAGTAAATAAAATTTGAAAGGTACAATAGATATTGTTAAAGGGAAAAGAAACTGCTCAAATAGGAAGGAGCAACTGGGATGAAGGAAGGGAGAGGAAAAAGAAAGAAGGAAGAAGGAAAAAATGTATAAATACATACAAGATAGCTAGGATAATTGTAGTACTACTACCTGTTGATTTATTGAAAGGAAATGTTAATGTGTATTTGTTTGATCAGTCTTGTGTGCCTATAAATAGTTATATGTGCAACCATTTTGAAGATGAAATTATATAATATAGCAACCATTGTTAATATCCTATCACCATGTTTTAAAATTCTGTATCTTTTTATTGCTCTCTATGCTGTTTTGTTTATGTATTTGTTTTTGTTATTTTGGCTTTTTTAAATGAAAAACAGTATTTATATGAATATATAAGGATAGCTGGAATAGGTGTATTGCTGATGTCTGTGGTTTATTGAAAGGAACAGTCAATGCTTAAAATTTTCTTTTTTCTTGACCAATTTTGCACGCTTGAATTTGGCAATCAGAATGACTGATCTGAAAGCAATATGCAGCATAAGAACCATTGTTGAACACCTACCATCTTGTATGGTGAAGCCCTGCATCATTTCCAATGTTTTATTTTGTTTGTTTTTTACTTGTTACTGTCTTTGGTTGTTTGATCAATCTTACATTCTTGTGTCTGGTGGACTGAGCAACTTTGTGGAAGAAAACAGTATGTAATGTAGCAACCACTGTAAATTCCTATCATTTTGTTTTGAGGTCATGTATCATTTTTGTTGTTTTTGATTTTATCTTCATTGTTGTTTTGTCAGTTTTTTTTAATTTTTGAAATTAGAAAAATAAAAAAATAAAAAAAAAGCAGACAACTGCAGGTTAAGAAATAAAGAGAACTAGACTTATCATGTGATGACCACATGCAGTGTTTTTGAAAGAGGGTTCAGGAACGAAAGAGCAAACTGCATGAGCTACAGTGCTACCTTCGTCGGTGCAACATACACAACCACCCCTTCATCGCTCTCTTTCAGCACTTTCTCCATGCAGTAGTAGGAAGCATAGGTTTTGCCTGAGGATGTCGGGGCAACAATCACTGCTGACTCATAGTTCTCCACCACATCGAGGAGCTCCCGCTGCAGGGTTCACAGTAAAATTTGTGTCAATAATATAAACAACGTGTTAGCAAACCAAACATATTAAACATTTCCAATATGATTTTCTGAGTATCAAGTGGAATGCTTGAAAGTTACGATTCCACAGATAACCATGTTTTAAATATCTGAAAAGCACATACAGTCCTCTCAGAGAATATAATTTGTTTGCTTTTGAGGATGTGAAAGTTGAGTTTTACTTTTGAAAAATGGAAAGTCTGAATCAAACACCTGTTACTGGGAAGATTTCTTTGTAGTTATTTGTCATATAGTAAATGCAGAATGGCTCTGATAAATAATGCTCTAAAAAGTAACAAATACATAATTTTTAATGATGAAAAAAATGGCTGGGTAAGAAAAACGTCAAAAATCTTAATTGTCTTACCCAACTTCTACTTTCTATATAGCATACAAGGTACCTAGTCTGGAGGTCAGGTAGGAGCATCATCTCTATGTTTTTATTTATCAACCTGATGACTAGTCAAAAGAACTATAAACTTATGAAGTGCAGAGGACAGAAAAATACCTTCTAATCCCAATTTGTACCCCTCTTAAGTCTCGGTCCACTTGAAATCACACCTGATAGTGAAGTGAATATCAGGAGTGTGGCAACATGCATACAATTAATGGAGAATATTTGCCAGGCCCATAGCCTGCACTGAAATAAGAAATTAGTCTTCCTACTGATGGAAATAGCGTGAAGTTTTTACAGTGGCTCACTACTGTCAATGGAAAAGAGTTAAAGTCCATCCTGTGGTTTGCTTATGGTTTTAGTGTCCTTCAAGAATCCTTTTGTTGGAAGCTTCAACCCCAGGGTAGACCTTTGAGAGGTTCTGCAAACTTTCGTAAGTGCCAGAGCGGGAAGCCCTAGGGAAGGTAGTTCCTGTGGGATTCTTGGGTAGCTCTCAAGATGGGCTACTTATAAAAAGCCTGAGCCCAGCCTCATCTAGCTCTCTCTACTTGTTTGGTTGAAGATATGATGTTTTCTTCCACATGAATTCCAACCAAGATGTCATGCTACTCTGCTGTTAAGCCTCCAGGGGGACCAAACTAATTGTATCACCTGATCTTGGATGGTGAATCTCTAGAAATGTAACCTAAATGAACTTCTTTATAAAGTTAGGGCACCTCATGTAATTCATTACAGTAATGAAAAGCTGACATCTAGTCTGGTTCTAACAATCTACCAGACCAAACATATGAAATTACATTTATGTAAGTATGCTCAATGTATTACCAATTTTATATGGTTAATATATACAAAATTGGATCCATTTCTTCATAATTTTGACCTTCCATAGGCATTTTACATACATTTATAGAAGAATACTGGTTGCAATGTATACACACCTAAACAATTGTCTCCATTGTGTAAAATACCCCAGTTTCTCTGTGTAAGTTTATATATTTATGTATGAAATCCTATTGACTTGGAGAAAATCATGAGGGTGCTCCAAGCTGATACAGCTGTATAACATGAATGTCTTTAATCTTCAAATCTATATAGTAAATCAATCACTTACTTCCAACTAAATAGTATACATTAAATTAAAAGTTTACTTTTTGAAGTGAGAAAAAGTCAGCATTTGGCATTTTACATAGATAATTTTAAATGACATAACTCAATATTAAGAAGTCTATGCCAGATATAATGTATAAAGTTGCAAGACTGAGAGATTCCTGCCCTCATATATACATATACAAGATGTTTTTCATTTGCCTTTGCATCATTACCTGCCAAGTATCAGGAATAAAGTCCTGGACCCTTGGATCCGGATCTTTTCTTTCCTCTCGTATCAAATAATGGCCCATGTGTTGTAATTGAAACCGAGCTGGCCCAATGCCAACTGAATACTTCTTCTTCTTTATGTTGTCTACTGCATCCTATATTATTTCAAAGACCATTTTGAAAGTGACTTAAATTAAACGTCATTTAAATGATTAAAATATTTATTTCTAAGTTTCTTCTATATAAAAAGTATTTTACCATCTTTTAAGTTTTGTAAACACATTACCACTTAAATTATCCTCTTAGCTATAAATAAATTAATAGACATCAGACTTTTAAAAGTCTATCATGGGTCTTACAGCTACCAGCTGACACATTTTTAAAAGTGAAATAATTGTGCTATCATCTTGAGATGTTTTGCTAGAGCTAATTGTACGATTCGTTCTAAAGCGTATACAAATTATATGGCATTTATTCTATTTGTCCAGGAAAGCATTTATACAAGATTTCCAATTCTATATTACTTCAAGATTAGGCATTTGGATAACTAATAATGATAATATTTTAAGTAAAATAATCTAAAGGAGATTACTGTATTTTTTAAAACCCCATGTATATCTAATATTTACACTATTCAAATATTACCTGATCTGTATAAAAAGACTTTGCCAACTCATCAAATCCTAAATACATAAGGCATCTGCCTATGAGTTGCCGATCTGCATCTTGCAAAAGTTCTGAGTATTTATCCATCAAGGAGTGAATCCTTTTCATCATCTGGACAGCTATATTTAAATCTTTTGTGGTTTTATCGTTGTAAAAAATAAACAATTAAATGGTTACAAAAAGGCATAAAATAGTAGATTTTTCATATTCAAAGTTAATCACCTGGCCTCTTAATCTTGATTAAATTTCACTACTTTACTTGGCATTAACAGAAGTTTTGAAGCAGAGAAGACTAAATAATATGAAAGTTTCATTATCCATACTTCATCATCCCCATGAATTTTTGAGAATAGCCATGCTAATGCTAGAATAAAGAAAAATCTTCTAAGTAATGGGAGAAATGAGGTTGGTAAAGCTGGAGATTTTAGAAGTTTATGGAGAATAATAAATCATGTCTCTATTGTTTTATCTTCTACTATGTTCAAAAGAAAATACTTAAAGCGTCTGATTTAAAATTTAGCAATATTTACTGAGCCCTGATTTTGACCATAGAGATGCATTTGGTGTAATCACTGGAGTCCTTCAATTCAAACTATCTATTTCAACTGCCAAATGCAGACTTGCACAATCTCTCGCCATTCCTTTAGAGTCACATATATCATTTATATGCTTCCCTTCTGCTAATCATTTCATACTTACCATGTCAGGGTTCCTGTGAGTCCACCTTTCTTCATATCAACCTATTTGTATCTATTCAACAACTGTTACCAAACACCTAATGAACGCTGTAAGAGGCTGCCCAAGAAATTTAATGCAAAATTCTTATCATCCAGAAGTTTCCCACCCAGTTGGAAAGACAAGATATAATAACTTGACTGTTGCACAGTATGTGATAGAAACTATAGATGTTATGTGAGCCCCATCAAATATAGGCTTTATGGAAAGATGTTTTTTGAAGTGGATTGGAGAATAGAAAGAATTTAAACACATGAAAATCAATAACATAGACCTCTATGGACAAAACTACTTAGTAGTTCTCTCCTCACTATTTATTAGTCATTATTCCTTCTGTATTATAAAGAACTTCAATGTATCAAGTAAAAGTCTACATTTACCAAAAGCCCTTGTGATTAGATGTGGCCTTTTCACCAAGTTCTACCTCATAATATCTAAGAGGAAGTTGTGATAGCAGAACTCCTTAAAAGACAGAGATGGGGTTCTAACAGACATAAAGAATTTACCTTGTTCCCTTTCTTCTAGTTGCTAGAATACATCACCAAGAAATGTAAAACAATCTGAAGAACGGAACACATGTCAAGGATAATAGAACCAAGAAAGAGGAACCTGGGTCACTGATGACATTGTCCAGCTGCCCCAGCAGGCTAGGCAGGCCACGTGTGAGCTTCATTTAAATGAATAAAGTACTATATTCTTTAAGCCACTATTGGTTTCTCTTAGTAGCACCCAACTGCAAACCTGATTAATCATCCTGATTGGTGAGAACAACATGTGCTGTTAAGTCTTATGCCTCTCATTAGAATAAAATGTACAGTGAGGCATAGACTTTGCTAGAACATGTATTCAAGGCAAAAGGAATAAAATTTGGGGTCAGATTTGGGGGCAGATTTGGTTCTCCAGAGAGAATACTGGAGTCATGTGTTAAAACGGTTCAAGTGTGGAATTCTCAAGACTGACACATCAACCAGGTTTACTTAAACAAACTATCATGCTGGAGGTAATATCAAGCACAGTCATTTCACCACTTATTAATTTATATATGTTTCCCAACTGCTTCCTGTTTTGCTCTATCTTTCTCCTTTGCATTTCTACTACCTGCTACAGAAATTGTATAGAGAGCCCAAGGAATCCACAGAAACTTTGGAAGAAATCAGCATAGTAGACAGACATTATCAATTTCCCCAGAAAGAAAACATTTATGCTTTGGAATATAAAAGTGAATGCTAGATTCTCCCTGGCTGGCTCACCATCTTGATTGGTTCCCTTAATCGTGCCACTACTTGATACACAGCTATTTTAAAACCTACCTTTGATTGTGTTTATGACTGTGATCAGTATTTGCTACTGAAATCCTGAGCTGTAATTGTTCATTAATAAAATGGAGAAAATGAGGCTTAATACAATCGGATAATGCACATAAGTCTTCCAACACAAATTTCCAGTTAACAAATGACTATTATCATCATAACATTTCTATAGTTCTCCAGTTCACCAAAATAAGAAACTATAATCATGTACCTTTATCTCGATGGCGTTCTTTCCACACTTTCAAACAGGCAGTGAGACCAACCAGTTCAACACGAACTTTCACTGAGTTACTTTTACATGATTTCAAAAAGTTTTCCAGGCTCTTTACTCCAGAGCTGAAATTCCTTGTCATTTCTACTTCAATAGAAAATGACACAGCGTTCCATTTCTGCTCTTCTTTTTCTTCTTCCTTGACACATAATCTGTTCTTATTCTCTCTAGCAATTATTTCAGCCTTAGTCTCCTGCCCAAAAGGAGTGAAACATATCTTGCAACAAATTCAAACTATTTCAAGATGACATTATATGAAACAATATTTTTAAATGTATACTAATGATTTGGACCATCATCTTATCCTTTAATAAGCACTGGACATAAAATGGCTTTTTCTTAAAATTAAGCTTCTGTAAATTAAAAAGTTGTGACAGTTCAGCTCAGTGTGGTGGCATATGCCTATAACCACAGCACTCTGGGAGGCTGAGGCAAGAAGACTGCATATTTCAAACCTAACCTGACAACTTGGTAAATCAGCAAGACCCTGTCTCAAAGTTTAAAAGAATTTTTTTTTTTTATTTTAAAAAGGCTGGAGATGTGGCTTAGTGTGAAGAGCCTAGGTTCTATCCCAGGTACCATACAACTTAATTTAGTGAATATAAAGGCTCTCTGTAGAAATATTTTCAATTGCTCAGTGATGTCAGTCATAGAAAAAAAGAAATAAAAAAGACATGACCACTGTTATTTGTCACCGTAGTACCTGCTGTTCTCTCTGGAATCACCTTCCCTCTTCCATTGCTCCCAAGTCACTTTCCTATTTCCTATTTTGTTAAGTTATTTCCATCATGAAGCCCTCCCTCTCTTGTCCCTGGGTCCTTTGCTCCTCTTGTACCTGGTCATCTACCAAAGTGCTAATCAACATGAACATGCTTGTGTTCTTTTCTATGCTGGGATCCTTGGGACAGGATTATGCCACGCTCTTCATGTCCCAGCACAAAGCACTGATGAGTAAATGAGGAAAGAGAAAGGTTATAGAGGAAACAAGAGTGTAGAAGGACAGACAAAAACAAATGATTTGCTCTTCTTAGATAATGTTTCCAATTGACTTACATTAACAATTTCGTAACAGTTTTACTATGATTTTATCCACCTGACTTGTTACATAAAGACAAGCTTACAGAACTAGCAGGGAAATTTAGACAAACTTTTCACTATACTTGCTACTCATGGAATTAACATGTAAACATTTTCCTACAGTGAAGCAAATTTAACTGTCATTCCTCTCTAAGCATTTGATTTTAATCAATAATACTTGAATTTTCCTAATGTTTAACATGGCAAGTGCTCTGAATTAGGTCCATTCATCACAGTTCTGCTTCAGTACAAGGGTGGACCTTAGCCCTTTGCCAATTTACAGTGCTCACTTTATCTTGGAGACATAGATTTATTGAACTATTAGTAGAAAAATGCATTTACTACAAATACAAAATGCTAAGGGTGTTCCATTTCTTTCGGATAACTGATTTCTAATAAGAGTAAGAGGTTAAAAGTATAAAATATTTCTCAATCTTCATATCTTGAGCCATAAGATAACATTTTTGACAATTTACTATTTTGTAGCATCTCTCAGAAAAAAATGAAAGGAAAAGGAAGAGGAAGATGAGGAAGACAATATTCCTGGCATTGATAATGAAATTTGGGGGTCACATCCACAACAAAATTTGCTGTAAAAATGAAAAGAAGGTTGTCACCATGAGAAGGAAACAATAATTACATAGATGAATTACTGAAGCTGCTGCTATAAATGTAAGACTAAAAGCAGTCTACGATTCTGATTGGATTTTTCAATCATTTAAAGAAAACAGACTTCACCAAAGGGCTAAGGACATTTTAGAGCCATTAGTGACTTTTAAACTTTACCTTTAATATAATATGAAAAAGTTGGTTTTTGATAAGTCCTCAAAATGATGCCTGTCCCTCAAAGTTTTGAAGTTTGCACTCCTTGCTTATTAATTAGTTGGAGAACTGATACAGAAATGGCATTATTTTTGATCTTTATAGAATACTTTAAATGTAAGTACTCAGAAGTGAGGCTAAAGGTGTTTTTATCTTGTTTCTGTTGTTGTTGAACATGGGGCCAGATTATATGTTTAATTCCTTATAACTTCATTATGCTTGCTGCACTTGATAAGGCAGACATGGTAAGCTTGTTGGAAATTGGCTTTATTAAGCTGGTACTGTCTCACACACTAAAACTTTCATTCTTAAGAGACACTTTTAATGAAAATAAATGCTGTTTCCTAATCTCCAACTTTGCATCCTAAAGGAGTAGCCTGAATTTCATAATTACATGTGTTTAGAAAACACAGCAAAGTGTTACCTTGCTATAAAGTCATAAAACCACTAAATCCAGTTTTAACAAATATTCTGTACTTAGTTATTAATATTAGGCCGATTATTCAGATTATTAATAATTATTAATAAAAGGTCAATACTTTTTACAAACAATACAGTACTACTCTGCCATAAAGAAAGAGAACTTTGAGTGATTTATAGGAAAATGGATGCACCTTGAGACCATCATACTAACTGAAGCACATCAGACACTCAAGCTTAAATATCGCATGGTTTCTCTTATATAGGAAATCCAAGTAGGGAGCTAGCTCTTTCTTACATGAGAAGAGGACCAAGAGATGAAGGGATGGGGAGAAGAAGGAAAGAGAAGGGATGAAAAGGAATTAAGGTGTGTTATGAACACCCACCAAACACAAATACACAAACATTATGTATTGCAGACATGAACTAATGAAAAATTTTAATGAAAAATAAATAAACAAATAAACTTCCTTGTTTATTCCTAGCATTGGTCTTTTTTTTTTTTTTTTTTTTTGGGTTTTTCTCCAGTACCGGGAACCAAGCTCACGACCTTGTGCTTGCCAGGCAGGCGCTTTAGCCGCTGAGCTAAATCCCCAGCCCCCATTGGTCTTTGATAATGGCCCTTGGTTTGAAAAATGGCACTTCATGAAGAAAAAAGAAAATGAGGAAACAAAGAATTAGATTCATTAATTATATAAGTACTTTTTGGGAAAGTGAAGTTAAATGTATGATTCAAGACCCCCAAAAGCAGATTAGCGTTCATATTAATTTTATCACATATGCAGTAATACTATAGTAATATATTATTGTCATTCACTAGTAAATAACTATTTTAATATGATTTCAACATTTCTAAATCTGAGATTTTAGTCATTTACTGTGTTATATTTGTTTCCAATTAAAGCATATGATATTATGGTGGAGGACCACATACAATTTTTTACTTGCAGGTTAGACAGACTTACTAAGTACGATAGTAAAGAATCATTATTTTAAAAAAGTGCATGTGGAAAGAAATTACCAAAGGGTTGAACAAACAGTAATTTAAGAAAAGTTAACTGAAATTGGGTAGAATTTCTAGAACCTTACATGAGCCTTTTTGTTCTTAGCTTCATTAAAATTCTTCTTCGGCTTTGTATCTTGGGTTACAATGAGTTTTGAAGAGATTGGGTCTAATGAATTTCCATAAAAGCGCTGAAACCTGTGATATTTTTGCCTGTTTTTTAGAACCCAAGGGTCGTTAGACTTTCCTGAAAAAGAAACATTTAAAATGCACCATGACTGTATTTTTCGGTGGTGTTACTACTAACTCCTCACACTGTCCCACACTAACATACACTTTGCTTTCTAGTATGGAACACTAATTTGACCTGATTACTTTTGCTAAACAAGGTATTGAATTCAGACAATCACTTGAGTGTAGGATACTTTCATATCTTACTTAAAGGATAGTGGTAACAAAATTTTTTTCAAGGCCTTCTTCCAAAAGCAAAATTTGGGGTTCTACGAAAAATGAAGGATTCTGGGCATTACTTCTGTATGTGACCTAAAAATTAGGCTCAAGAGAACATATAGACAGAAGCAAGAAGAAAATAACCTAGCTATTCTGACTTTTCAGATCACTGAATAAAAAAAGTTCTTACTCCAAATGAAAACACGAGCTTGGTAGCTTGGGAAAAATCTAATTGCACAGGAAGGCCCAAGGATGAATGGCTTACTTCCACACCCTCCAAAAATAAATCTGCAATACTCACCTAAATGTGTAACTATGCTGGCTTATTTCTTCATCTGAATCTAAACATATCAAGCTAAACCACTCAGAAAGATATGAATAGTTAATCTACCGTATCACCTTACATCTTGGATGATTTTGACAGCTATTGATATAAGCAGGCTGATAAGAATTTCCAGTGCCTAGCTCTTGTGGAGACAGATGCTATATTTGAGTGCTCCCTTCTCTGAACCCACCTATGAATGTAAACAAAACAGGGATTTTCTTTATTGTCTTTCCTAATGTACAACAACGTATCTAGTATACCATTCTTATTTGAAAATATTTAATTTCTGGCTGATAATGCGATTATCTTTGTCCAAAAATAGAAAGCAGAAAAGGAAATAGACTAAGTCACAGAACCCACCATCAAAGTTGCTTTTTGTCCGATCGTAATCATCACTAAGGAGTCTGTGAGAATGCCAGTGCACAAGTTCATCAAATTCCTTCTGTTTAACCAGTGAAGTAACAACAGGATCATCACTATGAGTGAAAAAAGTATGTATACTTTAAATTGCATATGCCTCCTAACACAGAAAAGCATAGATTTTATTTGATAGTAGCAACTTTAAAATCCATATAGCCCTTCCTCCTTTTGTGATACAGTGGATGGTAGAACCCAAAAAACAGTTTCTTACACACTCAAGAATCCACCGTACACCTCTAACTGTCCTAACGACATCACTAGACATTCACTATTAATTCATTATTTAGAAACATGTGACTGGGATAGTTTATAATGAGATTATAATCCTATACATGTTTATATAATGAAGTCAAAGGGCACTGAAATTTTTTATATTAAATTCATTTTGTATTACAAAAATATACATGTAATATACTCTAATCTGGTACATTGCAAGGCATCCTTAATAAATAACTCTTCCCTCCCATATAAGTACTGATTAAGATATATTTTTAGCCCCCTACCTCTTTAGAAAAGGTAAATCTTTCAAAATGTCTCCAGAAAATTTGTCAACCATTTGACATGACATTGGAATAAAACCCAAATTAGGCACTATTTCTTTGGAGGTGTCTGTAAAGAAAGCATTAAGATAAGGTCAAAGGTAAATTTTTATACAGGAATTTTATACATTCTTTCCTGAAATTTTGCATGAAAAATGTTTTTCTTTACATTTATAAATTCTAGCCCTTCCCTTAAAACTATTTCCCATATTTACACATTTTGGTACACAGCAGAATATCAAGAAAATAGGTAATATTTAGGCATGAAAGTAGGTAGATGGGTGAACGGATTGATGAATAGATACATATATGCCCCTCCTCCTTATTTGCAAATATTTCCCCAACACTCTAAGAGGCTGAGGTAGGAAAATTACAATTTTGGTCCAATTTAGGCAACTTATCAACTTAGCAAGACCCTGTCTCAAAATAAGAACTAAAAAAGGATTGGAAAGTAGATCAGTGGGAAAACCCTTGCTTCAGTCTTCCAGTACTGCAAAATTATCAAATGTTTATTTCTCTTACTATGCTCTATTGTGAAACAAGGAATTTTAAAATGGAACCATCACTCAGAAAGATAATACACACACATACAACACACACACTTTCATGAAAATGAACTTAAAAAGTAGGGAAAAATAAAAGTGGCAAAGAAATTACTTGTTACCATTACAGTACTCTCTTGGGTCCTTTTTGATTTTATAATCACACACAGTGAATGGATAGATGATAGATAGATGATAGATAGATAGATAGATAGATAGATAGATAGATAAATAGATAGATAGATAATGTCTGATAATACTGGAATAGGCTTATGAATGGATTTTTATTCATTGTATGGTTCACAACTCCAGGTAAACTGCAACTGCTCTAGCTGGTAACCTGGCAGCATTCACTGGGACTGCTCTTGCCCTCATCTTTCTCAAGCCCGTGAGACTTTCCCTGAACTCTTCTGCACACAGCTCATGTGAACCAGGAGAGAAATGTTAAGGACAGCCCTCATCCAACATCATGACAAGAGGTAGATGATGAATACCTCGGCTATCTCACTCTTCAGCTAAGATATCTCCAAGGCACCTTCTGCATTCAAGAGTCTTAGTGAAATTTACCTACGGTTGCCCACAGTGGAAACTGATGCATTAGTATGCCCGACATACTTTTAGTTCTGGTCTAACATTCCTTTCTTGGATCATCTTGGGATCAATAAACTATTTGAATTCATTGGTGTTTGTTTAATGGAACACATTTTGATAAAAAATGATATGTGTCCTCCCCGATGTTTCTGAAAAATATCCTTCTACCAATACACACTAAACTCCCCCTAACTTTCATGTTTCTTCTGGATCATTTTCTTCCTAAAATTCATCACACAGAAATATTTTCAGTGATTCAGTGCTGATGAATAAATTGAGTTTTATTTTTTCTGAAGATATATATTACATATTACTCCATTTTACTCTATGTTCTTTGTTTGTATTAATTCTTTTTCCAGATTCTATCTTTCAGTGGCATCATGCAATATTTTTCTTTCTATGCCTCACTTACTTAACTTAGCATAATGATTTTTATCATCTCTGAGTAATTCTTTCCATCTGTTTCAAGTTTGTAAATTCTCTTTCTACCATTATCCAATCAGCTTCTATCCTAGTCATTGACAAATGTAAATTGAAAGTGTTTTTAAACTCTGTGGTTATTGTCTCATTTTCAGAATTCACATTTAATTTTTAAAATATTTTAAAACGTGTAATATATATCTAATAGTTATAATGACAAAACCAAAGTACTGTACTTAAGAGTTCTAGTACTATTGCTTACAATTTTCTTATGATTTGTCTTCTCATTGTTTTATAAAGTTGTATTTGTATACATATTTGATAGAAAGCTCTGTAAACAAGGATTTATAACTTGTTCCTCATAAGAGCTTGAAGATCCCTTTTATCTCTTTAAGCTAATTTCCTAGCTCAGAGTTGTCATGACCCTATTAATAGTTCAAACTGAAACCTCAAATTGTCAGAGTAATTTGTATTATTCCAGGTCCAGTGAGATTTGTTTGACACCTTCCTCTGCTAGAAAGCAGGGCCTGCGAGATCTAGCCTTCGAGGTTCACTCTAAAAATCCTTGCTTTGAGTAGAGATGTCACCCTCTCCCTCCTGTTCTCCCTCCCAGTACAGCTGGGATCCAGCTCTCTGTATCACCACCAACACAGTAAATGCTCCCAGGGCCGCAAGGGCTGGGGCACTGACTTTCACAAATGGCTGCTCCTTCTTCATTCCTTGGCTCCTGAGACACCCTGCTGCATAGTTTTGTTTTTGTTTTTGTTTGCAGACAGTCTCATTATGTTGTAGTCTGCTCTCTTGGTGGGTTGAAGTGATCCTCAGCTTATCAAGTGCTAAGAATAAAGACTCACACCACTGAATCAAGTTCAATCATTCAGTTCAATGTTGACCTTGACCTTAGGGGAAATTTTGATTTGGTTCTTATCCAACTCAGTTTGCCACTAAAATCATGGAATGAATTAAGTCCATGAACTGAGATAACACTGTATACCACTCTGTTTATATAGATGGCGTGTATACATATTGGTTTAAGGAAAAATCATAAAACTTCTAACTACAGTATAGCATATCACTCCAAGTATATGACAATCATCAAAATACATAGTATCAGAAAATGATTTATTCTTAAACACTGAATCAGTTGTGCTTTGAAAATATTTTCAGAGGAATAATGTTTTTATTTCAAACCAAGTTCTGTATTTTATTACCTTTGATTGACAATGGATTCTTTCTAAGAAACTGCAGTGTGGTTGTTCTGATAGGAAATGGCTTGCCCACTTGGAACTTTTTTACCAACTTTGATATAGTATTCCAGAGATGTTCATATTCTTTCACAATGGTGCTTCCCAAGTTCAAATGTAAACCTATGTAACAATAATACTTACCATTAAAAGTTATTTACACAAACACAACAGCACATATATTGACTCAATTGATAGAGCTCTGAAATATGTGTTACATAATGAAATCTTCAGTGAGTTCCATACTGGAACTAAATGGAAATCGTAGACTTTACAGTTAATTTTCTTTTTATAACTAGGGATTAAAATTGTAACTATTAAAATTGTAACTATTATTATTAAAAAAATAATTACAGATGGGGAATATTTTATTGTTCTTTAATAATAAAATATTATGTCACATACAGCCTTGCTAATAATAAAAGTGAATAAAAACTGATTTTTGAGAGATGAAAAATCAGCAAAGAATCACAAATCTATATGTAGCCAGTTAATTGCAATGCTTGATAATTAGGAAACATCCTCAATGTCAAAGAAACTTTAATAACAATTACATTTCTCTGAAAATATTTTATTTTTCTTTGACTATTAAGAAACATCACAGAAAATATTCTTAGAAAAAATTCAAAGAAACAAACCAAATTACATATGCATATAATACATGTATATATATATATTATATATATTTTTTACTTTTGGAAAAAATAAAATTTCCTAAATAATAGGATTGAAATAGTTACATTAATTAGAGAAATTTTATGAAGAAGCATTATGCATTCACACAAATTAAAAAACCTGAACTGTTAAAATTATCTGAAAATATCAAACACATAAACATATTTTTCCAAAAATCTTTTGACAATATTATTAAGAAATAACATTTTGAAATACAGTATTCATTTGATTACAACTAAGTAAAAATTACATATATAAATGAACAAACATTGGAAAAAACAAAATAGTTGTTATATCTAAGTACAGGAAAATAATTTTAAATCTTTTATAGTGTTTATCTCTGGATTAAAGTATAATTATTATTATATACTACAGTCATACCTTTTACATCTTCATTTTCATAATAAAAAGTAATATTTTTCAACAAAGGTTCATCACTTAAGTCAGAAAGGTCAGTTAAATTTAGATTCCAAAATTCTAAAGCATTTACATTACATAAGATGAAATATTCACACCACTTTTTCTGAAAAATTGAAAATAAAACAAAATTATTGACAATTTTCATATTAGCAAAAAAATAAAGTGACTTTATGTATTTCTACATTCAAATCAAAGAGCAAATGAACAGGGCTGTCCCAATTCTTATTAATATAATTCAGATGGGATAATGATGAAATTTTATTCCTTGCAATATTAAAACAAAAAATAAAATCAAAGCTGAAGAAAAAAATGAATTTGGTATAGTGCTTTGTCCCAAATCAGAGAAATCTGTACATGACTCTAAATGCATTTTTTCCCTCACACCATGATTCACAGAGATCATCTGAAAGCTATAGAAACACTTCTGCTTTCAAATGCGCTTCTGTTCTTTACTTCGGTTTTAATGTTCCCCGATTGTACTTTCCAATCAAGAAATCATATTTTGTCATTTTTCCCTTTTTTCCTATTGTATGTCTTTTATTTCAGACTTTATTTATATATTGAGTTTTTCATATAATATAAACCATGTTATACTTAACCTTATGTGTCTCATTTACTTCACCTGGCATCATGGTATCAAAGGGCATCTGTTTTCCGACAAATGACTCAACTTTATCCTTCTTTATCCTTCATTCAACTTTATCCTTCCTACAAATGACTCAACTTTATCCTTTATCCTTCACAGCAGAGTAGTACTCTATTGTATGTAAATAACACATTTTCTTTATCCACTCATCTGTTGATGGATATATAGGTTGTTTTCAATATTTAGCTATTATATATTGTGCTGCTATAAGCCTGGGTATGCATACATCACTGTGGTAGGATGTCTAACTCTTTGGGAAGACATCTGGAAAAGAAATAGCTGAGTCAAACGGAATTTCTAGTTTTAGTTTTTTGAGGACTCTTCATGCTGATTTCCACAGTGGTTGCACCAGTTACATTTCCACCAACAACGAAGAAGTGTTCCTTTTTTCCCAGCATTGTTCCTTGACAGCATTTTTTATTGGTTGATTTCTTGATGATAGCCATTCCTTCTGGAGTGAGATGGACTCTCAGTGTTATTTTAATTTGCATTTCTTGAATGATCAACAATGTTGAACATCTTTCATGGCCATTTGTGTTTCTTCATCTGAGAATCCATATTCACTTCAGATGCCCATTTTTTGATTGAGTCTTTAAATTTGGGGAAGTCTAATTTTTTTGAGTTCTTTCTTTATTCTATATATATTCCTTTGTGGGAAGAGTATCTGCCAAAAGTTTTTTTCTCATTCTGTAGATTATTTCTTCACTCTATTGATGATTTTCTTTGCTGTGCATATCTTTAATTTGTTGTAATCTAATTTGCAGTGTACCTCAATTTGGTTTGTCTTATGTGTTTTATGTTATTTGAGCTATTAGTCAAGTTGTTGATCTGTATATATGATAATTGCCTGTATAATGATTTATAAGATAAATAATTCTGATGCTAGCAGAATAAAAGGGAGGTTGAGGGGAAAGAAAAAAAATAACAGATTTATTATACATATGTACCATTTCTCTAAAATGATGCAATCATTATGCACTGCAAACATGTACTAATAAAAATTTAAAATTAAAGAACACTGTCTTGGTTACTTTTTTCTAGTTGCTGAGACAAAATACCCAACGCCCAAAATTAGGGAAGGAAAGGTCTATTTAGCCTACAGTTTGTGGAGGTTTCAGTCATTACTTGGCTGGCTCTGAGGCAGAAGATAGCAAAGCAACAAGAGCAAAGGGGAGAATGGCAGCTGAACAGCAAAGCAGCCAGAGCAAAAGGGAGGAATGGCAGCAAGCAGCCTCTTTCCCTGCCTTACACTGTAAACAGGCTACCCCCATCTAAGGGGTCTGTAGCTCTCACATAATCTCCATGTGCTCCTCTACCACAGGCTCAGGATGAATACAAAGTAAGCACCCTGGCTTCCTGCTGAGTCATTTAGCCAAACCTCTAGACTCCCCAAGTTGACACAACGTATCAATCATAACAAACACTTTTTTTAAAAAGATAATATATTGAAAAAAAACCTTTGATCATCCAGAGATATAAAAGATGTTTCTCCCCCTACACAGGCATCCACACACAAGCTCATGACTGTGGGGCCATGCTCCTACTGAACTAGGAAGAATGTCTTCGCAACCCAGACTCAGGTCAGAGCAGATTAGACAGGAGTAGGCACCAAGTCAGGGGTTTGTTCCATGACGCTGTCTGCAGAGTTAAACTGAGAGAGGAGACTGAAGCTTCTTCTGCCCCACAGTCCCTTAATAACGTAACACAAGTGTTCTTTACAACAATTTAGGTCCAGTCTGGAACTCACTGAAAATTTCCAGTGGAAATTTTCATGCCACATCTCCAGTGGAAATGTAACATATTTCAGAACTCTATGAATTGAGTCAAAATGTGTGTTTTATGTTTGTGCAAATATCTTTTAATACTAAATATTAGTAATTGTTCTATAGGTTTACATTTGAACTTGGGAAGTACCATTAAGGAAGACTATGAACAGCTCTGGAAGACTATATCAAAGTTGGTTAAAAAAAAGTTTGAAGTGGGAGAGACAGAGACAGAGATAGAGATATATATATTGTCATTACTAGAAAATCTACTTGAAATTAACTGATTCATTTAGGTCACTGACATTTTAAAACTCTTTTAAAGGGATAACACTATTCCCATATCAATGTTTTGAAGGATACTGTGGTTTTCACACATCAAACAGTTGAGACAAAAATACTAAACCAATAAAGAATACACTTACCATTTTAAAGAACATCTTAGTGTCCTTAATCCAACAGGAAGTGATGAATCTAGAATGAGCTCTCTGAGAAAGAGGTATGTGTAGTAGGAAAACCACACTGAGACAATGCAGTCTGCACAAATCCTCTGCATCCTGCAGGGTTAAGCAATTTCTTTTCACCTAAATAAAACAGAGAAGATGAGTCAGAGAATAGCAGCCTATGAAACTGCATAATAAACGTGCAGAACCATAACAGCTGATAGCCGCACTTTGCCACATAGAGATTATGGAATTTTCTTCATTTTACATCTTCTGTGACAATGATTTTCAGCATTAATATATATTTGAGATAAAGCAGAAAGGAAATACTCAGTTTAATACTATTGAACATAAGGTATTTCTCAGGATTTTTGGCTAAGCCAAACTTCACATAATTAACCAAACAGCTAATGAAGTTACGATCCCAGAGGACTCTTCCTGAATGGATCCACACGTTAAAAACTGTATTAGGTCAAAGGAATCATACTTTAAAACTAATACTGCAGATTACTCAAGGAGAACACCTGGATGGCAATGTATCTAAAAAGCATGCCAATGACAATAAAGAAGTGGATATATTTAACAAAATGGGACAATATAAATTCTAGTTTCTTTACCATACACAAGACCCTAAACTCAATATACAGTACTAAAAAACTAAAGTAAAGAAAAATAGAATAGAATAAAATAAATTCTAGTGCTTTTCCGATTGTTGAAATTATACAATAATTTCAGTATCAAATGGAGAAATATAGAAGGATAGCTGGCATAACCGTACTGCTGGTGTCTGGTGGTTTATTGAGGGGAACAGTTGATGCTTAAAACTTTTTTTTATATATTTTGACTAATTTTGCATGCTTATATCTGGTAATCTGAGCAATTTATGTGAACACAACAATATGCAATATAACAACCATTGGTGAATTCCTACCATCCTGTCTAGTGAAACTACGTATTGTCTCTAAAATTCTTTTAAATTTTTATTTTCTTATTCCCTTCAGTGGTTTGATCAATCTTCTATTCTTACATCTGGTAATCCAAGCAACTTCGTTGAAGATAATAATAAGTAATATAACAACCACTGTTAATTCCTATCATTTGGTTTGAAACCTGTATCATTTTTAATGTCCTTGCTTTGTTTTGTTTGTATTTTGCATTGTTCTTTTTTTTACTATTGTCTTTAAAATTTAAAAAATGGAGAAAATGTTAGATGCTAATTAATAAAATGTCAAAAGTGGAGAGTACTAATGCTTCCCAGTAAAGTTGTAATAGTTACACCTTTGCATTGTTAGTTGTCTCTTCAGAAGTGGTCATCTTTCTGTTTTCTAAGAAGTGATGGTACATTTCCAAAAACAGTGAGCATGAAGTAACGCAAAGGACTCGTCGAATGTCAGATCCTTTTGGCCACACTTCTTGAAGTAGACACACAGTCTTATATGCCTGTAATGTTAAGAAAATTGCAGTACATCATGGTATTTAGAAAAATATTTGTATTCATAAATGATCTTAGTAGAAGAAATCATACAAAAAGTGGATATATATGACTACAATGAATTATAATTATTCCATGAAACTATTAAAAATATAAGTAGATAAAGAGCTTGTCTATATCAATACAAAAATGCCCAGCATTTAAATAACACCATAATGCTCTAAAAAAATGCAACTATTATTAAAACAGAAAAATGTTCAGCCTCTTTAATACTTATGTTAAAAATTAGCATATTCTGACTTTCAAATTAACAAAATATTTTGAATGGTAACAGGCAAAGCTGAAAAATATGGTGTATTATTTCTTTTATTCTTTGCTAATCACAGCAAAAACAGATGGGGACTTAAATGCAAAGCTATTCAGCAATATATGTAATTATCATTACATATGTTGATCCTTCTTGTTTGAGTATCAAGTTCTAGGAAGTTCTAGAGATCTAGCCTAAGTGCTTAGTCCAAACTATGAACCAAGATTTATGCACTGCAATTTACATCACAGAGTTATTTGTAAAAGTCAATTTTCAAAAAATTTAAGTCGCTCCCAGGGATTGACAGAGCACACCTCTAGGCGTGTCTGGGTGGCTCATAGAGGCATGGCCTTAGGGTCTCTGATCTCTCACCGCTTTCACTCTGGCACTCATACACTGGTTTCTCAGCAGAAGCTATCTTTTTTATTCCCCTTCTGTCATAGTCTCTGCCTTAGAGCTAACTGTTCATGCACTGAACCCATAAACAAACTAAACCTTTCTTCCTTGAAATTGTAGGTGTTGGATATTATCAAAGGAAGCTGACTAATATAGAAAACTAATAAGTACTCAAAATCCACAAAAGCTTAATAAGTGTGACAGGACACTAAATAATTTTTAAAGTATATGACAAAAAATACTCTAAACAAAACCAAAAGACAACAAACTGGGAGAAAGAACATGGTCATAAGTCCATCACAAAGTGCTAACATTTAATACAGTAATATACAAAGAACAATTAAAAATCATATCAAAACTTGCAAAACTTAATACAACCCTTCCAGAAGGAAATCTGACAATATCTAACTAAAGTACAAATCCACTTATCTTTTCACTCAGCAATCCCAATTTTAGAACTGATTCCAAAGATAAAGCTCCAATAACACAAAAATCCACATGCATTTATTCATTATAGCATTGGTTATAATTGTAAAATATTAGAAACAGGATAAATCCTAACCATAGATTTGTTAGGTAAATATAGTACATCCACAAAAGTGTACACTATGCAGTAAAGATATGCATGATCTGCTTTAAAATGATTTCCAAGACATGCTTATTGAAAAAAAAATGAAAGAAAAGAGTAAAAAATAACACTTATAATAGACTGTATTTCATTTTAAAAGGAGGAAAAATAGGGCCTGGAGATTTAGCTCTGCGGCATAGCACCTGCCTGGCAAGTGCAAGGTCATGAGTTCGATTCCTGGTACTGGAAGAAAACCAAACAAAAAAAAAGGAAGAAAAATATAGAAAAATACCTTTCATGGAAAAGAAATATAGGAAGACTAAACCCAAGACTAAAGACACAAGGGACCTACCAAGAGTATTTGAGAAAGGAGTGATGAGTGGAGGAAAATGAAACAGAGCAGCAGGAAAGAAGAAAGTGTTGCTTCTTTGGATGTATATTTTTGCATATCATTGACCTATAGATCCAAAATAATATTTCATATACCTCTCAAATACCTTCCAAAGTAAACAGATAATTAAACCCATCAGAAGATGGGTGGGAGGAATCTAAGATGAAATACACTTATCAATGAACCTAACTATGTTAAAAGTAACAAGGCCACACAGAGGAAATGTGCAAGGAAAAACTAACCTGAGTACCTTTGAAGAACATTATAGTACTTGTTAATTGGTCCTGGGAGGCGAGACAAAGAATTCCAAAACTGAAAAGCATGAAATGAATTCTTTTGACTAGAAAGGATAGTGAGTCATGAAGCAGTCAACTCTGACAAGCTCTAGCTTGCACAGAGAGTACTAAACAATGTGGACCAGGGCAAAATTTTCATCAAGCACCAAATGTCATAGATTTCAACACAGTTGAGTACCAAGGCATGACAACACTGAGATATTTTAAAACTGCATATGGTGGAGCCTTGAGTAACAACCAGCCTGACATACAAGCAAGTTGTTTTAGTTTTAACTTATGATCAGAGTCATGAGTTATGACGTGAATACTGGGCACTTGTGCCTCCAGATGGTCTCAGATATAGATTTAACCCTTAAAGAGTTCAGGATGGAACATGACAACGTCCTTTCCTGTATGGGGTTTATTGAGAGATCCTGGGCCAGTGTCTCTCTGAGGACGCTGAAATCTGCCTGTGTACAGGAGAGAGACTGAAGGCTGTGTAGACGAGCCTGAGCCTTCAGTTGACAACTTGAGTTACAACCAGCCCGCGGAACGAATCGAGTTCGTACATCAAGGGTAAGCTGTAGAAAACTGCACAGAACTGGTATCATCTACCCAGTCAATGTTTCTCACAGGATAAATTTAGAAATTCTAAAACTGCATTATATCTATAATGCAACTAACAAATAGGTAAATATATTGTAGTTAAGTAAAATCAGATTTCTCATAAATGGAAAAGAAATGACAAGCAGGAGTTTAAAGTGAAGCCATAAAATTTGAAATGGAACAAAGGAGAATAGTATGACTGTATATTTGATTAGATCATTAAGAAGGTGACATGTAGGGGCTGGGGATTTAGCTCAGCGGCAAAGCGCCTGCCTGGCAAGCACAAGGTCGTGAGTTCGGTTCCCGGTACCAGAGAAAAACCAAAAAAAAAAAAAAAAAAAAAAAAAAGGTGACATGTAGGTGGGTAGAGAGATAACTAAAATTGTGGACATGTGATAACAGAGGGTTAGTTTACAGATATTTCTTAGCTTCATCACTGAAGAGTCAGAATGACACCCCAGCAGCTATGACCAAACATAGTTCCCACATTTGGATTTCTCAATGCCATTAGAAAAAAAAAAAAAAAAAAAAAACCAGCCATCAGAGCTCTTTGCAAAAGTGATCACTTCATAGCTGGGGCAGGAAACTACAAGATGAAGCCAAAACATCTTGGGATTTCACAAAGGAAGAGAGTGCTCAAAATAAAGGAGGCTGATAGAAGAACACAAGTGCCAATATAAAGGAGTCTCTAGTGCTCAAACCTGGAGCAACGTGAGCTACAAAATTGTTATATTGGATTTTAGCTTATACATCAAATACTAACTAGTCCATACTGGCCTACATAAAATACTAAGTAAGTAAATAAATGCAAAACTAAGATAGCCCCTTGTTATGGTAGAATTGTATTTAATAAATGTAAAAGTAAAAAGTTAAATGGAAAATCATCACTAGGCAAAAATATCAGCAATAACTATTGCAAACAAGATCCACTGATGATTACTAAAATTAATCAGTAAAAATTTAGGAATAAAGACAATGTGGATAGTCACAAAGCATCTCCCACAAGGTACTTATTTACTGCATAAGCAAGAAAGCTCTCAAAGTCCCAGCTTCACCAGAGTGGAGACAGAACCATCACTAACCCCTTGCTACTGCGCACACAGCATACAGCATTAGTTCAATAACAATCTTGCTAAAAATGCATAGCCTCATTGCAGTCAGTACTGACCATCAGACCAGCCCAAGTATATTTTTATAAAATTATCAATAAGCTTCAAAAATATCAAGATCATGAATGACAAGGAAAGACAAACCTATTTCAGACTGGAGGAAAGCAGAAATCAAAAAGGGAAAAAGAAGAATATTAGTGGAAAAATAAGTAAAAATTGAATAAGATGTGAGACTGAGTTAACAGTACTATACCAATGGTAATTTTCTGGTTTTGATAAATGCATCATTTTATATAAGAAATTATCATCAGAGGAAACTGGGAAAGAAGTAATAAGAAACAAACTATTTTGAAACTTTTCTATAATTAAAAAATATCAAACAAAAGAATTATTTTTAATGTATCATTACCTCTTCCATCATATGTTTCGAAGCTAAATTGTTAAAGACAGGTTCTAATGATAAAACTCTATATTCTTTCAAACATCTAAGCAACGTTTTATAAGCACGTTGGATGCACTTCTCATTCTGAAAAAAAAATACAAAAGTTCAGGTAAATTGTCATCTAAGTGTTTTGCAAGTACAGAAAATCAGACATTTAAGATACAATTGTTATAATATACTCCTACATTTAAAAAATTACATTAGTGGAATTTAACCTTTTTAAAGCCTGCAGGACAGCACTATTTTATCTTTGTTAAGTACATAGTGAGCCTTATTTTTTAAGAGCTTCATAAAGTTATAAATAAAATAATATAAAGTTCACTTATTTTACTCTTATTTTAAAGAGAATAAAACTTTTAAAAACATTAAAAATGATTCTTTTGAAAAAGAATTTCAAAACAAGATGATAGGAAATCAACAAAAGTATTATATTGCATATTGTTATCTTCAAAGTAGTTGTTCAGATTACCAGATATAAGCATGCAAAATTGGTCAAAAAAAATAAGCATTAGCTATACTCATAAGTGAAGTAAATCAGACCCACAATGTAAACATCATATATTTTCCCTAGTGTAAGAAACTGAAAAAGTAAACAAAATTCAAAAAGTACAATAGATATTGTGAAAGGGAAAGTAGCTGCTCAAAAGGAAAGAACTGGGATGAGGGAAAGGAGAAAGGAAAGAAAGAAAGAAGGGGAATATATATATACATATATTCACAAGATAGCTAAAATAATATTATTAATTTCTGTTGGTTTACTGAAATTCACTTATTTTAAATGTACAGTTCAATGGCTTTTAGTAAATTCATCAAGTTGTGCAACCATTATCACAATGTAATTCTAAAACATTGCAATGTTCCCCCAAAAGCAATGTATGTTATTATAACAAATTTCAAACACACACATTAATAGCATAAAATCCCCACATATACCTATTGCACCAACAATAACCCCTACCAATATTTTTAGTTGTTTTCAAGTAGCACTCAAATGAATTAATGAAATGTACCTCATCACATTTTAATTCTACTTCAGATAGTGTTCAAACTGGTTACTAAAACCTTTTTAAACTGAATGTTCAACTAAATTAGAAGTACATTTTTTTATCAGAAGTAAAATCCTTTATTTAAGAAAAATTATTCCTTAGGAGCAATTGGGAAGGATGTTTGTAAGATGTTCCTAAAACTGAGATCAGTACATTGCCATAACAAAATAAAGTGAATGCAGTGATAATAATATTTTTTCCCAATATAAAAGTGAATCCCAGAACTGATCCTTCTTTCAGCAGGCAGAGTCAGAAATAATTTAATGATAGGAATGCTAACTAAAATAAAGCAAACTATTTTATTGTTTCATATCATCTGGATGTCTCCAAATATACTGTGGGTATGGCACAATTCTCAAATGTTAACTGACCCCAAAATATTTATGAAATGTAGAATAATCTTAATATTCACAGGGCTGGGGATTTAGCTCAGCAGCACAGCACCTGCCCAGCAAGTGCAAGGCTGTGAGTTCAATTCCTGGTACCAGAAAAAACAACAACAACAAAAAATATTCAGAATTCACTACAAGTAGTGAAAATAAATAGAAACTAGATGTGTTTATGAAGTCAATATACATTTTTACTTCAAAATTTTCAATAAAGTAGTTGGCAAATATACCAATACAGCAAAATAATAGAAGCATGAAACAAAATTTCTAAAAACTTGAAGAATTATCCTGCTAGGGAGTTAATGTTTAAAAAGAACCATCTTAACCTTTTCCTTCCTCACTGACCTGCTCCACTGTGCCATTTGTTAAAGGACACCATGGTAAATTCACTGCACAGGAGTGTCTCAGCAACACATACATAACTTTTTTGCCTCTCTTGTTTTGTTGTTGTTTTTTGTTTGTTTGTTTGCTTTTGGTACCAAGAATCGAACTCAGGACTTTGTGCTTGCCAGGCAGGCATTTGTGCCGCTGAGCTATACCCTCAGCCCTTTTCATATCTCTCTTAATACACCCCTGGCCTTTATTCAGTTGGAGTCAATATACCACACAGTGGTTAAGAATGCAGGGGCTGGAGCTGCACTTTGTCTTTTCAGATCCAGGTTTTATTACCCATTTGGTGTTGATAAACATAAGACTATTCAGATATTTATTTCCTCACCTGTAAAATTTAGGTGATGTTAATATAGGCCCTATGGTTTGACTGTGAAAGTTAAACAAAAATCATTCAAGAGAAGTTTGAACACTATTATGTAATAATAAATACTAAATAAATAGTACATTTGCACGATTGCTATTATTTATTAGAATTATTGCTATCAATTTTTTCTATCTCTCTGTTAAAGCTTTGAAAATTCCCATATAAAAGGGCAAAACAAAAGTGAGTAATTTAGAAAATTTTGCACAATTCTAAAACATTGTCTTACAGATGTAAATTACCTCCTTGAAAAACTTCTGGTTGGGGTATAGACTTGGCATAAAGTATGCATACAGTCGAAGAATATCAGCGGTTTGCCCAGAAAAAAGTACAACACTGACTCTCATTGACCACGACTGAATGATTAAAAAGTTGAAAAGGTGTGTTTGCAGAGGGTTCAGGCCTTCATCTGCAACTATCACGAAATATGGGTAATTCTCATCCAGGAACGTTTTCCACTCCTTTGATAAGCACCCGGTAAATTGAGTACAAACATTGATGTGAGTATTTTTCTGAAGATGAAGAATTAAAGCAGTTCTCAAAGGAAGAAGCTCAGGAACACTGAAGTAGGTATACTCAGCATCCTGTAAGGAGGAGATGGTGAATTACATTATTTCGAAAGTTTCATTAGCAGTTCTCTAAGTTACTTGTTAAACATAATTAATTAAAGGAATAAAATCTAACATAGTTTTGTTGTGTCATATAGCAAGGGAGTAGACCTTTACATTTTGATCACCATTTTACAAATATTTGCTATAAATCACAATTTGGATTTAAAAGTATATATCTCCTGTCCGCAAACATAATACTCAGGGTTTTCCATATTTTACCTTCCCATTCACTAATTTTTTTCCTCTCTAATCTCATTTCAAAAAGAAGGGCTGAGGATTTAGCTCAGCAGCACAGCGTCTGCCTAGCAAGCACAAGTAGTGAGTTCGATTCCCGGTACCTGAAAAAAAACAAAACAAAAAAAAAAGAAAATGGACAGCTGGGCGTGGTGGCACATGCCTGTAATCTCAGCACTTGGGAGGCTGAGGCAGGAGTATCATTGCAAGTTCGAGACCAGCCTGGGCTACAAAATAAACTCAAGGCCATCCTGAACTGCATAGTGAGGCCCTGTCACCAAAAAAAAAAATAAAATGGACAGAAAATATGTAAAAAGCAAGTGGCAGGTATAAATCATCTCTCCTGGGGAGCAGAGGTGTCCCTCTTTATTCTACAGGATTGCTCTGGGTACCTTCCTTCAGTTGTGTAGGTGTATCTCAGCAGACCAAAGTAATGTGTGGAGCTTGTAAACATTAGTCCAGAATGCTGGCTGGTTTTTCAAAACATTGCTGGAAAGCATTCAGCAATATTCAGAATTATAACAGTAATGTGGAAAGCAAAATGATTGGAGAGATCCATACCAAAGTCTTTGAATGGCATATTAGTTACCTTTCAGAGTAGCACTAGGAAGAAGTAGTAGGGGTTATACATATCTGTATTTTAAGTCATTGAAATGTAATTAATTATATTAATCATAAGGAAACCAAATGTGGTATTCTCTTGCAGATATTTACTACTGTGCAAATAAATGCAAGCCAGGGTTGTGGAGTTTGCCTAGAGTCCAATATATTTTATTTCATACTCAAGTAAATTTACTGCTGAGTTTTAAAGACAGAGTTAGTTCTCAGAGTTGAAGAACTAATAATTTGGCCCCTACTGAAATTTTCCCCTCACCAGCATGATTCAGTGTGTCCTGATAATAAAATTCTTTTATTGAAAATAAACAGCAGGGGCTGGGGATTTAGCTCAGTGGCAAAGCGCCTGCCTGGCAAGTGCAAGGTCGTGAGTTCGGTTCCTGGTACCGGAGAAAAAACAAAAAAAAAAAAAAGAAAAAGAAAATAAACAGCAATAATAAACTACTGTGGTCATTGCTCAATACTGGGAGTTCAGGTAATTTTTTTTCCTCTTTTTCCCTTCAATTTTTCTGAAATTCTAAGATATATTTTACTTTGTAATAATGGAAACCTACTTATCAAATAATTTAAAGAATTTTGTTTTAGTCCTGAAATTACAGAGACAAACTCAACTGTCATGTTACCTGGAAGAAAACTATGGTAAATTGTCCTCCTTTATCAATAAATTCCATGAGATAGCGTTCCACCAGATAGAAGAAATGCAGATTTTGTCCCTCCTTTAATAATTTCTCACATATACATGTGATAAGTAATGAATCCCCATCAATCAGAAAATATTCAGACTCAACAAAATCATTGAATAAACTGGAATATCTAAAACAAAAATAGAAAGTTAAAATATATCATTGAAATGGGATCCAAAAGAGCAGTAGCATTGCTCTTATCATTTCAGCATTACCATGAATAACTGAATTTGCTCAATGTATATATCATAGATATAATGTATATATTATAAATGTATATATATATATGCACACTGAGATACATGTAACTAGACCAGTATGAAGTCAAATAGATATACAAAAAAAACAAGGAAATATATTCTCTCATACCTCCTTATTACTACAAAAATACTCACTCAGCCTTTGGCAATTGGTCCAAAATAAATGATGACATATGCTCTAAAAATGGCGTACATTTATCTAAAAAAAAGAAAAAAGAATTCATTTTTGTCAGTTGTTTTTAAATAAACTCAGATTTAGTAATTATTTGAAAAATAAGAAACAATAATATAATTATTTTAATTCCTTTAAATCTACATAGATTATATTTTATAATACTTTAAGTACTTAAACTTGACAATTACCCATTCTTGCTTCCATCTCTTCCTTTAATTGGAACTGGCAAATATCCATTACTCTGGGTGCTCTAAATGGTAGTTAGTAATGAAAACAGCAGACCTGCAAAGATAGAAGAAAAATAAGAAATTATGCGCTGAATGACCACATGTGCCAAGCAAAAACTTAGACACTGGGAATACAAGAATGAACATAATTAACATAGTCAACATGCACTTAACTCTCAAGGAACTGCAAATCTATCACAAAAGAAATTTTTAATGATATAATCATACAAACAATGGGAAATCACAAATATAAAAATTTCAAGGAGGTCAGAGGAAGCTTTTGTAAATAAAACTGAGTAGAGATGAGTTCCAAAGAATTAAACAAGAATTAGGCAAAAATGAGAATAGTATTCACAGCAAGGGAAACATCAGAACACCACATGCAGCAGCCCTGCAGCATGAGGAATGTGGATGGAACCAGGGTCTTAAAACAAGCCAATAGAGCTGAAATACAGAACGTGACAGAAGACGATAGCTGTGCCAGAGAGAAATGTTAGGACATGGAGAGCTTTTGAGGGCACGTTACAGAATTTTCTCTCCATCCTAGAGTTAAAAGTAACCATCTATGGATTTAAGCTGGTAAAACTTTGATGGCTCTGAATTCAGAGAAGATTATTCCAACTAGAGTACAGCAAATAGAATGGGAAAGTTTGGAGCACAGTTTTGGTCAATAAAACAGAGAAAAGCTACTATTCAGATGGATGATAATGGTACAATAGTTTGATGCAACTACTTTGATGTGGGTTTGAGCTAAAAAAAAAAAAAAAAAAGCGCGAGAGATATGGATTTGTTTGAAGTACATTCAGAAGGAGAATCTGAGATAATTTGGTAGTGGATCAGATATGGAAAAGAAGAGAGCAGAAGGGAGCCATCAAAAATGAGTCATAGGGTTCTCACTCCTGCAACAAGATGAACGACTAACCCATCCCAAGATGGGAAACCATGGAATGGGATTCAAGTGAGGCAAAGATGATGAGTTCATCTGTGGACAACTTGAACTTACTTGGTTTTTCAAGACTTACCATTGACCATGTTGTAGAATCTAGTACAAGTACAGGTGTAGAGGTCAAACACAGGCTTGAGAGAGATTTGAGCATAAGATCATCTGAGTGTTAGTATAAAGAAGGGCACTGGTACAGATGAACATCCTCCACAGAAAGAGAGAGCATCACAGGAGAAGAGAAAGGGACATAACTCAACTTTTAGGCTTATTAATATTTAATAAATAGCACTGGAGAGAAGAAAAAGTCTGCAAAAAAACTGAAACAGAACCAATGAGGTAGAAGAAAATGGCCTTGAACATTTTGTCATGAAAATAAATATTGAGACATTTGCCAGACAATCTACTAGGGTTGTTAAGCATTAAATAGGATGGAAAGTAGATAGATAGACAGATAGATAGATAGATAGATAGATAGATAGATAGATAGACAGACAGAGTTGATAGATAGAGAGAGGGAGATAATAGACAGAGATAGTTGATAGCTGATAGACAGGTAGATAATTGATAGGTAGACAGACACAGATGACAGATAGATGATAGATGACAGAGATAGTTGATAGCTGATAGACAGATAAATAGGCAGATAGATGATTGATAGGTAGACAGAGATGACAGATAGATGACAGATAGATAGATGGTAGATAGATAGACAGACACACTTATTCTATGACATTAAAGAACAGGAACATATAATGGTGATGCTAATTTCAATATTCAAATGATAAAGGAAGAAAATGTATCACTGTAAAAAAGAGTACATTTGAAGAAAGAAGAAATTATTGTGTGCTGGAACGTTTAGGAAACAGTGGAGCTAGGAGTGTAAGCATGATTTCCCAGTCACTCAGTTATTGTCTTTTCTAAAGATTTGCAGAGCGCCTGCTCTTTGTCAAGCATTGTATTTGCTGCAGCAGGGGCAAGGATGTGTGGAACACAATCCTCACACCCCAGCGGGGCTTAACGAGCATGAAATCAAACAGTGCAGTGTCATGTGCTGATTGTTCCAGTAGGCATGGCATAGGAAACCAGAAGGGAATGGAGACTCTTTCCATTCAATTGCAGGGATCGAATCCTGTGTTCTGAAGTTTTGAGCACCAGTTGAAAAGGTGGTGAAGGATTAAGGAAACACACTGGAGAATACAGGAGATAGCAAGGATGGCATTCTAGGTAGCAAAAACGGCGCCTGTTTCATGTGCAGAGATGTGGAACTACACAAGTAGTGCGACATTCTGCAGGTCATTGTACATGGCAAAGCACAGAGTGACTGACAAGAGACGATGCCGGCAAGGCAGATATGGATCAGATTTTGAAGGGCCGTGCCCAGGTAATGAGGTAAAACATTTTCCTGAAAACTCATGCATTTCAAGCCATTCCTAATTTCATTTGCACAGTACCTGTAGTATCTTCTTTCAGTTCTCCAAACTGACCCAGATTGAGCAGTAAGAGAGAAATTAGTGAGAACTAAGCAAGCAAGAAAAACTTAAGCTCAGCTATGTTATAGAGGAAAAAAGAGCTTCAGAAAAGATAATGTCTGATGCCACAGGGAGAAATAAGTTCATTCATATGTTACCAGACAGTCACAGCACCCTTAACATTATCATGAAACTACTAGGACAAACCAAGTACCTAATCACTTCCTTTGTTAAGTGGCTCACTCCAAACAATTTCCTAAGTATTAATGTCCTAACAACTCAGAAATTGTTTGAAGAAATAATATGAATAAACTGAAATAATGTTTTTAAATTAAATAACCATAAGTACTAGTGAGATTTGGGTGCCTGTTAGACATGGCACTGCTTTTCAATAATAGCCATGGTAGAAGAATAAAATTGTTCTTACTTGGACAACCAAGAGACACCATAGCCTGCCTGCCCGCTCTCCTCTCACATTCCCCACAGAAAGCTTCCCTGTGAAACTTTACTCTAAACACATACATGCTTTTAACATTTAAGTAAATTCAGTCATCCCTACTTCTCATCCTCTCTCATTTAAAGGACAGGCAGGCAGAAAATATTATCAACCACCTGTGCACCTGTCATAATCACTGAATGAAACACACACACACACACACACACACACACACACACACACACACAAATCTCCAGTCAACTGAGAAGAATGACACCAAAAACAAAAGTCAGAAGAAACGATATGAATAACCATAATTCAGGAACAGAGCAGATCTTCAAAAATTTCTAATTAATATTGAAAAAAATTATTATCAAATAAAATAATAATAGCCAACTACAGTAAGGAGATAAAGCAAGTGAGAGCTAATGCTCTCAAAATTACAAACATAATTTCATAAAAATATTAATAAGGGCAACAGTAAATAGAACTTGTGGTAATACCAAGTTTTCAATCAATCTGGGAGTGATAGTCCAAGAGATTTCTTAGAGGGAAGAACTAGATAATAAATGGATTTTTTCAAAGGAAAAATAACTGTGAAATATCAGTGATCCGTGAAAAAGTTTGTTACAGCTTGTGTTTGGATGTTCCCCCACTGCTTTATGCAATTATAGGTGGTACTTTTTCAGAGGTGGCTGGATCTAGATTGTGTGATGCTGGAATTGATTCATGGTGCAATGCTAGGCTCAAGGACACTGGAAATAGGGTGTGAGTGGCTGTCTGTCCCTAGTAACCTGGATAAGATAAAGAGACAAAAACCCTGTTAGGATCTTGTTTGCTTTGCTACCTTTTTGGAGCCATGAATTTGTTCTTCTCTGAGATGCCCCTCTGCCAAGCCACCCTGCCATGGAGCCAGCCAATTATGAACTTAAACTTTGACAACCTGTGAGCTAAAATAACTTTCTCCCTTTGTGTATCAGTTATTTTGTGTCAGCAACTAGCACAACGTAACTAAAACAAAGTTCTAAGTCCACCTACTAGCAATGGCAGTGTTAAGAGAACTAGGATTCCAAAATAGGTATCCATAAAATTAATCAAAGGTACACAAGGTGTGATAAAAATACAGTGAATGCTTAACTTTTCTTTAACATTACATTGTCATGAATCTTCTGCAAAATGATCTCTCTGGCACATCCCATCATTCTTGCCACTTCGTTTTATTTTATGTCTTAAGTATATATTTACAGTACATGAAACTCATTTACCTTGAGAAGGTACCTATACATAGCGTAGCTTGTTCCTTTTTTCCTTAATCCCACTTTCACCTACCTCCCTCTAAATCCCCTTCCCCCATTTGCATTCTTATCATTATTTCATTCTTACCATTGTATCTTATCATGATATGTTTATCACATATAATGTTTGTATTCATTGAGATCATTAGATTCCTGTGCATGGCATATTCTGGAAGATTTTTTCGTGAATGTCTTTAGTTGTACTGTTGTGGCTGTCTCAAAGACCTGAATCAAATCAACAAATTTACTTTTCACTGGCATTTTGATTTGGGGGGAGAGCCAGAAGTCACACAGTGCCAGATCTGGTAAGGTAGATGAAGGCATAATGTTTTCATCAGCCTACCTTTCTGTTGGATGGCAGAGGGCAGTAACATTCACTATATTTTTAACACATCTCATAAAGACACACGTGAAAGAGGATTTCTAGAACTGCTTAGGAAAGTGGCAAGAGTGGTGGATGGGGTAAGTGCATTGAAGTGAGAGTGTATAGTTTGAGGGGTCTTTGTGGCAATGTGTATTTTACTGTGATTTTCTTCTAATTTATTGTCTGCTGTGTATTTCAGTCCTCTCATATTTCAGTAGCATAAAGATCAGACTGGAAATAAAGAAAACAAATTCTTATATTCAAAACTTTCTCCAAATGCTGAGCAGAGATGACATAAAAGGAAACCACACTTAGGCACACCTGGTTAATGCTGCAGAACTCTAAGAATAGACATAAACATAGATAGCTGAGAAGAAATGAAAGTACTATATTGTAGAACACATGTGAAGAGCATAACAGTATGAATACTACTTATATATTTTGTGAGTTTTAAACCTAGCTCTCAGACATAATGTACAGTTCTTTTAGTTATGTTATGTACCTTCTCTGTGGCTTAATTTACTCATCTATAAAGTGAAACAATAATGTTAAACTTGTGTCTATGTTTCCAAGTTATTAAACTGTATGAACTGATGCATACAAACTGTTTCAAATAGTGCCTGGCATACAGTCCAAAGAACCAACATAAGCAATGTTGCTGGATATTTTAATAAAAGAAAGTAGTATTTTCAGCCTTCTAAAGGGAAATACCTTAAAACTAGATTTCTGCATCCAACAAATCATGCAATTCATTGAGAAGACAAAAACGCATAAGTAGACATAAAGAAGATAGGAATGCCATCAGCCATATATCTTAAATGATCAGGTTGTTTAAAGAAAGTTCAGAAAAATGATTATGAGAGGAAACAAGGCTAATAAAAACCAGTGAGGGTACTTTTGATCCAGAAAATTAAAGAGAGATATAAGGAAAAATAACAGAGTCCATGATGCTTTCAATTCAGAAAGTCTATTTCAGTTATTAATCTCATTGATACAGAACTACTTTTCCTAGCCAAACATAGAGATTGCTTCTACAAGGAATAATATGTACAGACTCATAATTTTTATAACTATTGTTTGCTGGCTTTTCTACTTTTGATGCAACATAAAAACAAGTAACAAGATTAATGTTACAGGATACTAGGAAATTTGATAAATCTTGGTGGTATAAAAATAACTACTATAACAACCAAATTGAGAAGCTCAGAATAGAAATTACAGAAGAAATAGAAGAATTACGCTGTCACTCACCTTTCTCAACAAAAGTTCAGAGTATTATCTATAGACAATGTCAAAAAATAGTACCTAGAATCAGAATTTGTTTTGCCTTTCTTGCAAAACACTCTTAAGAGGGAGAGTTTCAGGAAGCAGTGCAACTGCGGAGCAGAGACAGAATAAGAATACAACCATTTTATAGCTCCTAATGTATTAACAGATAACGTGTTTTCAAGTGACAGGACAAAAAATAGAGTAAGTATTGTGCCAGAAATAGAGGCAAGTGTATTGCCAGGGTTGTACTGCAGCCCACCCATCAAAAGACATTAAAACTCAATTTGATCAAAACTATACCAGTAGGGGGCTGGGGATTTAGCTCAGCAGCAAAAGCGCCTGCCTGGCAAGCGCAAGGTCGTGAGTTCAGTTCCCGGTACCGGAGAAAAACCAAAAAAAAAAAAAAAAAAAAAAACTATACCAGTAATGAATAATTTACAAGACACTGTAGGGATCAGAGAATCGTGAAAGGACACCACAAGAGCTAGGCAAATCTCTACAGGACACACAAACTCATTTCAAGAAATTAAAAGAAACTTGAAAGTCTATCATCTAATCACGGTATTGTCAGGATTGTATTTGGAATCTGATTCAAGCAATGTGTAAAAAATAAGAAGTCAGGAAAGGCAAGAAAGTGGAAGAAGAGAAATCATGGAAGAGAATGGGACGCCGCATGATCCAAGATGGTGCATTCCTCTGTGGGGAAGACCTGGCCCACGGCAGTGAGCAGAGTATAGGATGGTCTCCGGCACTCCACCACCTTGGTGTAAGGCCTTATAATCTCTTCTGGATGAGAGCTGCGGGATTGCGAATTTAACGGGACAGCTTCCCCAGTGACCAGGTTACCGTATGAAAGACACGTCACAGAACACTCGGAGCTTGGGAGGCATAGCCATCGGGTGAGACAGCCAAAGGGCAGGGCCCTGAGTGGACTCTTAAGGGCCAAGAGTAACCCTCAGCCAACAGATAGCAAGAAAGCAGGGAGCCTGTGTCCTCTGGCTACGAGAACTTAACTCATTCTAAAAACCTGAATAAGCAGCGGGGCTGGAGAGGAAGGCCGCCCTTCGGACACCTTGCGTTCAGCCAAGTGCGATCCTCGCTTGGGCCGGGTCTTCTGATCCACAGAATATAAAAAGCAATAAATTTGCATAGCTTTAAGCCGCTACGCTTCTGATAATTGATTAGCTACCACAGAAAATCAACACCTGCCCCCCCCCCCCCGTGCGTGAATACATTCTTTTAACTCTTGGGAGAGTAAGACATAAACTGTCTGAAGCTGCTAAGATTTAAGAGTGCTCAGAAATCCCATGGGAGAGGTTCCGATTCTGCAAGTGTGAGGCGCCCTACTGTGCTTTATTTCTTGACAGCAGCAAATTCACTGCTGTCAGCGTCCACCTTTATTGGCTGTGCCCAGATCTGAGGTCCCCTATTACTCCTCAGAAGCCCAAGGTCCTTTTGGAGAGGACCCCGCGAGGGCCTGAACAAACGTGTCCATTCCTAAGCTTCCCGCGCTCACCAGGACTGCGGTTCCCTGTCTCTGCCTGCTGCCCACTGCCCTCGCACCCACCCGCCTCAGCCTCCTGGGGCCGCGCTCCCGCTCAGCTGCCTCCTCCCAACTCCGAGGGCCATGGCTCCCCGTGCCCACACGCCCCCAGCCACCTCCCGTCTTCTCTATTCAAAGGCGCAAGGAAACCTCGAACCCCCTCAGGTTAGAGATGCGCCAGCCCCTCCCACTCCCGAATACCCGCAAACCTCTCCAAGGCCCCACCCGACGGGAACCCTGGACCTGCTGCCTCCAAACAGCCGCTGAGCGCGTGCCCAACCCAAAAAGAGGGGAGGAATGCGGACTCACCCCGAGCTGCAGGGGAAGCGCCGAGTTCCTTGCGCGCCAAGGACGGGAAGTACTGGGCTCCTCTGGCCGCCCAGCCCATCTTTTATACCGGAGCGTGGTTTCGGTTTCCTTTCTCCTCTAGCCTTCAGTTTCGGTTTTCTTTCTCGGGATTCGGGCAAACAGGCTTTTCGAATCTTTCTCTTCAATCGAAATTTTAAAGTAGAAAAAGCAGAGACAATAATAACTCCAGTAGCTACAAAGTAATCTAGAGGGAATGAGGCAGAGAAATCTGGGCACATCTGTAAAGGATTCTCACCACCACCGTCTTGGTCAAAGAAGCCTCTAAACCACCCCCACTGGCACTTGGGAACTCAAACTATCAGCTGTGCTCTACTCTTGATAGTAGGCACTACTCCTGCGCGTTCCCAAGCCCCGTCCTTGGGCAGCCATCACTGCTTGTGTTCTCTCTAGGCTTGTCTTTGGCAGGGAGCCACGACCCTCTCTCACTGAATGCCCCCTCCCCATGACCCTATTAAAGACCCATAGCCTAGTAGAGAGCTCTTGGTCTGGGCTCCAGTGCCAGAGTGGTCCCTCCTAGGTTTATTCTGAAATAAATCTGTCCTGTTTTTATGTGTGTGTACATTAACATTCATCATAGAGAATCTGTACCTGTACATGGTACAGCTGCTGCTTCTTTTTTCCCTTTCCTCTCTCCTCCCATCCATCCCTCTACCCCCCTTATTTACGAAGCTTTGTTTCTATTTTTCCCCCTATTCCCTTTTTCTCCCCTTGTCATTTCATTCCTTTTTCCCTCTCACCTCCCTTGTTCCCCTTCACATTTGAATGTTTTCTTCCCATTTTTCGAGATCTACTATTCATTTCGGTCCTTGTTTGGTTCTTATTTGGTTTCTCACATGGAGAAACAATGCCAGCATTTATTATTGGTTGATTTCTTAGTAATAGCCATTCTTTCTGGAATGAGATGGAATCTCAGTGTTGTTTTAATTAGCATCTCCTGAATGACCAGTGAGGTTGAACATTTTTTTCACATATTTATTTGCCATTTCTACTTCTTCATGTGCAAGGTACTGTTCATTTCAGATGCCCATTTTTGGATTGGCTGTTTAAATTTGGGGTTCTGATTACTTGAATTCTTTCTATATTCTAGATATTGGTCCTTTCTCTGAGGAATAGCTTGCAAAACCTTTTTCCCACTCTGTGGGTTGTCTCTTCACTTTGTTGGTGGTTTCTTTTGTTGTCCAAAAGCTTTTTGATAGGATGAGAAACCAGGAGTTGACTCTTGGTGATATTGTCTGTGCTATCAGAGTTTTGTGCATAAAGTTTTTACCGATTCATTGGCAAGCAGAAACACTAAAACAACACCCAGAATTTAGAGACAGATTTATTTTCATCAGTAGGCACTGATCAGGATCATTCCCAGAATATCAGGCCCTCTTTCATCTCTGGTGGTCTAGGGCTTATATGAGATAAGCAAACAGGAAGTACTGAGGCAGAATGGCTTGTGAATTGGGGATTGGTTTGCACAGTGTGTATCATAGTGACCAGCTATGCATCACAGTGACCAGCCATATCTAAGAGATAGGAGCAAAAAGGATTGGAGAAGGAACTATTACCTGGACAACTAACAAACTGAAGTATACTGGTGGGAGTGAGGCTACATTTCCCCCCTCTTTTAGTTTCTCCAGCAAATCTTTGCAGAAATATTATATGTGATCTCTTGAGACAAGACCCAATTAAAAGCAATAACACTGGGGCTCTCTGTGATCCTGGGATGGGCTCTAGCCAAACCCAAGGCTGAAAGTTTTTTCACCAGGAGTCTGTGGTTTGTTTTCCTTATTATAGGGTTTCCAATTAAATTGACTCTGACAAGGGATTGAAGGAGTTTATCTGATCTAGGAGAGCATCCAGTGTGTCTTAGACATTCATCAAATCTTGGTCAAATATTTGATTGGTTGTTGTATCTTCTTGGGGCAACTGTCCATAGAGTTTAAGGAAAAAAACAAACAAAACAAAACAAAAAAAAAAAAAGAAAGAAAGAAAAACACATAGCAGAGGGTGGGGAAGCAAGGAATGGGATAAGCAGAATCCAGGTCAATTAACAAAACCCACAGCTGGCAAGGGGACAAGGAAACAAGGACTAGGGTAAGGAGCCTGAAAAGACACAAAAAGTTGAGGGGAATAGGTATGGAGCAATTTTGTGAACAATGTCCTCAGGCTTCAGCCATGTGTGGACTATTAAGCACCCAGAATGACTACAGCAGGGCATTGAGTGCATTGTTTCTTTAAAGTGAGCCTTGGAGGAGCTGTCCAGGTAAATTTTCCAGTGGCTCTTAGGCTGTATTTCTGAAACTTGTAGAGGTAGTTAATATGCACCTGGGTTATATGTGTGTACAGGAATGTCTACAAATATAGCTGGTCTTTTTAACAGTTTACAAGTTGGTTTTTTAACTTTTCTAGATCTTTGTGGCCTGCATGCTGTATGTAGTTTTTATTGAAGCTAGTTTTTTAGTTACCTCTACTACAAATGCAGGCCCATTATTGCTGCCAATGATCAAGGGTAGACCATACCTAGGGATGATTTTTTACAGCAGAACCCTAAAGACTTCTACTGTCTTCTCAGTACAGGTAGGGAATGGGAGGTTGTGGCCAGTGACACAGATGCTGAAGCCTGGGCTGACCACAGGGATATGAGTGCCAGCACAGAAGCTTGAGCTTGCAGAGCATATGATGGGGGCAGATCTGGTGGGCTGGGGTTGATGCTTCAGTCAGTTGGATCCTTGGAGGAGGCTTGGGCTTCTGGACCAGATTATTTTGTGTCTTGGTGGTAGGTTTCCACACAGCAGCAGGAAGGAGTTTGCTGTGCAGATCATCCCTGCAGGAGAAGTTTGGCCAAAATAGATTTATGCAAGGTGAACACAGCACACTTAGTTTGTGAAACTACACTTCTAACAGAGCTACTTCCATCGGTAAACAAGGTATACTCAGCATCTGGGAGGAAGGTATTTTTTAAATCTCAATAACAGTGGTTTTATCACCACAAGAGTTAGGCAGGGATTTTTTTTTTTTTTAAATTATCAATGGTTGTTATTTTACCTGTTGGTATCTTCAAGAAAATTTCTCAGGAAAACAAATAGACAAATAATAGTGAGTTACAGACAAAGGTGGTAAGAAATTATCAATGGTTGTTGTACTATACTTTGGTATCTTCAAGGTGGTTTCTAGAGAAAACAAATAGAGCTCTACATGACTGATCAATTAAATAATCACTGACTATTCTCAATGGTTGCTGTTGGAAACACATAGTAACAAACACACATCCATTTACAAAATAGCATAAGAACAATAGAAACATTACAGAGTTATGGACAGTTATGGTAGGAAATTATCAATGGCTACTGTAATATGTGTTGGTATCTTCAAAGTGGTTTCTCAGGAGAACAGAGATATGCAAGAAAGATCTAACAGCCTAAGGGTTGTGAAAAATACCAGATTACCTCCTCACCATTGACTCCTTTCACTGAGGTGTGACAACTGAAAGGAAGGCCAGGATTGAAAAGAAGGACTGAGAGACTAGCACCAGTGTCCAGCAATAGGCTCTTTACTTTTTCCTCTATAGTCATGATTACCCAGGGCTCCTCCATGGAGATGACGGTCTGGCCAAAGGGAGAAGACAGAGTATGCTCTGGGCCCCTTCATTCCTGTTGGACCAGCTGGTAGGAGGGGTCTGACCTCTGGGGCCTTCACTTCAGAGGGCAGTCCAACCTCTAGTGGTCACCTTCACAGTCAGGGCATGGCCCAGGGGGCTTCTTAGGGCAGTCCCTTTGAGGTGGCCTGGCTTTTGACAGTGGTAGCATATACATGTAGTCATTGAGGTTTTCTTGGGGCCCCAAGAATCAGACTTAGGGTCTGCTTCTCTTAGTGCTGCAGCAAAGGCAGCTGCTTTTTCTCAATCTCTTTGTTTTCTCTCCTTGGCCACCTCCTCGTCACGACTATAGAATACTGAGGAGGCAATTCTCACTAACATCTGAAGTGAGCTATCTGAGGCAAAAGCCATTTTTTGTATCTGTATCAGTCAGGGTTTACTAGAGGAACAGATATAATACAAGATAAACAAGTGTACAAGAAATTACAAGTTTGGCTTACAATGCTCAGCTAGAGAATTGGATGAGGAAGCGTGCAGATGGTGTCTGCACGCTGGAGATTGAAGAACCCAGCCCCGGGCCTGGAGCTCGCTGCAGTGTCTGTGCAAGTCCTTATCAAAAGGCTGATGGGTCTGGGATAGAATGCTGAAGAACCTACTATGAAGGCCGGAGAGCCAACACCAGAAGGCTGAAGAGGCCAGACAGAAGCCCAACAGTCTGCACCAGAAGCCAGGAGACGACCAAGCTGAAGGCGAAGACCAGAGCTCCTCCAAAGAACCAGCAACCAGCCCTTCCTCAATTCCTTTTTTTATGCAGTTTATGCAGTCTACCCGTTCCAGTGGTCCTCTACACCCACACCCTCTGCATGCCTGCCTCTTGCACAGGCTCAGGATGAATACAAAGTAAGCACCCTGGACCCCTTCTGAGTTACACAGTTAACCTTCTAAACTTCTCAAATTAACACAATAAACAACATCCCAGAAGGGTAAGGGCGTGTCCTTTTCACCCCAAGAGGCAGAACTGCTGAGTCACTTAGCCAAACCTCTAGACTCCCCAAGTTGGCACAATGTATCAACCATAACAGTATCTTTTTTCTACTATCCGGGGCTGACTGAGTAATAAACTTATCTTTCAGAATAATTTGTCCCTCTACTGAACTGGGATCCAGGGAAGTATGCTTTATCATTGCCTCTTGTAAGCGATCTAAGAAAGTACAGGGGTGTTCCCTTTTGGGGGGGGCCTCTGTCTCAGCCACGAGTGGTGCACCCATGCCAATCGTCTCTCCAGCCTCGCAGCGCATTGGGACCCCACAACCACTCAGTGTCTTCTCCCCAACTGTCAACACAGGCGGCAGGAATATGTGGATGAAGTCCTCAGCCCACTAGTCAGTCTTAGCACCATCAGGTGCAAAGTGTCCCAGGCAGGTATCCTAGACATGCACCTTCTCCATGAAGGCAGTTCTTCAGAATCTGAATATTGGGCACCCATGCAATCCATGAAATCTTGGTGCAGACCTCCCTGGAGCTCCACACGCTCTTCCACCGCAGCCTTTATAGTCAGGGGGAGAATGGCTTTCAGGGGGTCTCCCTAAGTACTGTGCAAGGTCCTCCTGATTTCCAGCTCCTGAACGGCTCTCTCATA